ATACGTTTGGGTGCTGAAGGCAGAGTAAGCAGACCTCCTCGGCGATGGCGACTTTGAACGACGTCGCTTAATAGTCTGGACGTAGCTTACAGTACTGAGATGTGTGCGTAAGCTGTCTCGAGCCGGAGACGGTGAGCGGTGGCGCTTCTTGGTAGTCGTGGGGCTCGAAGCTTTTGGTTGCGCATCGTCGCTTGTGGAATGGACCACGGTGCGCTCATCCACAGGTTCAGGGTCATCTTGCGAAGTCGTCGGCCAAAGACGTCTCGGAAAATAATATCTTCTTCGAATGCGCTCCTGGGTTTCTTCCTCAATTTCTCGCGATTTGGCTTTCTTGGTTGGCTGTTGTGGCATATCCGCCGTCACTAAAGCCCACCGTTCGAGATGGTGAGTGGATCCAGAAACGCCAACTGGGGCTATCAGATCATCTTCCTTCTGTCGCTCTTCTTGCCACTTGTTCACCCGTGGAGCTTTCCGCAGACGCGAGCTGTCTTGATAGTGTTGCGACATAGCGATTCGTGGAGACGCAGAGGCAGGCGCAACCCTAGACTTGCAACAGGCGACTGATGATCTGATTTGGTAGCGAATGACGAATCAGAATTGGCCACCAAATGAAGTGATGTTGGGCGGCAGCGGCAGATGGCGCAGACAGCCGCGTGATGGCGGGAGTAGACGCGTCCGGCAGAGTCGCGTTAGACCCAGAGCCTGCGATGACGCGCAGAGTGCAGGCAATGAGTGTCAGGGAGGCACGACCGAGCTCTTTGGCGGTCCCGTTCCTCAAGAGATGATGTCTCGATGTGCTAGCAAACGCTCAATGCTCCTGCATGGACTCGACATGTTCGCAGTTGATCGGCACCCCTTGCGGGTGGGTGGGGACAGAGGCGCGCATGCTTGGCGCCGTCGCGGCGACAATCTACTCTCTTTTCACTACAACTCTCAAAACTCCTTCATCGAGGCTCTTGTATCTCTGCATACCTTTACACAACAGGATTATCACATGTCAGTTTCGGCTCGCCAACATCCTGCAGCAGCCACTGACGACTTCGGCTAATCCTAGCCGGAGAGAGACGCGGCGATTACGCCCGGCAGCCCGCCCTGCATCAAACCCAACGCTCATGTCCGATGATTCGACATTCATAGACCGCTTACGACGAATTGGGCCAATTTCGACGGAGCGAGTTAATGCAAGCCATCTCCACGTGCCGTTCCTGCCAGATAGTCCATGAATAAGACGCGGCATATGGAAATGCGTGGGAAACTCCGCCCGTTGACCACCTCTCCTCACATGATTGGTCCGACTTCTGAAAAATGCGAACCTAACAACGCAGCACTGGTCGTCTACGCTTGGGTTACCACTGAGCTGGATACTGCGCAATCCATCTAAAGCGCGCTGGGGGGTAGCCTAAGGCCGCCGGTTTGATCGTTACGTTTTGCCTCGTACCTCTCTCTGTCGAGAGGAAGAAAAAAAGAGAACATGTCAGCATCGAACAGTTCTCCACGCACTAACGGGAGCGCCCTTGATTACTCCACCGCTGAAGAGGCTAGCAGCTCCGGTCCGTCGCTCCAAATCGACGTGCGTTCCCTGTCCCATCGCTTGGCTGTGTTAGCCTGCCCGACTGACAGCTGGCATTTAGAGTGAGGACACCGAGGAGCAAAGCGATCAAAGCGACGAACGCGACTCTGAATTTGGTGATTCTGCTTACGGTGACAATCGATCTTCCTACACCATGTCCGCAACCTCGTCAGTGTTCAACTTTCGCTATGAGAATGGCAGGCGGTACCACGCCTACGCCGAGGGCCAGTACCCGGTACCTAATGATGAGGTGTGCAACTTACCGACTTATGTTCCAATGCAGTTGCTGACACCAGCGCCAGGTGGAAGCAGATCGACTGGACCTACAACACCACGCCTTCAGACTGACACTAGATGGGAAACTCTACCGAGCGCCTATACCAAAAGACGTGCAGAACGTCCTTGACATAGGGTGCGGGACTGGTATCTGGTCCATTGAATTCGCTGATGAGCATCCATCCGCGCGTGTTCTCGGCACTGATCTGAGTCCCATCCAGCCCGCTCAAGTACCCCCTAACTGTGAATTCCTCATCGATGACTGCGAGGCAGACTGGATCTTCCGTGATCCGTTCGACTTCATCCATGCCCGAGCCATGGTAGCAGCCATCAAGAATTGGGACCGCTTCTTCGAACAAGCCTACGTCAACCTCAAGCCAGGAGGATACCTCGAGTGCCAAGACCTTGCCTTCCCCATACGATGCTTGGACTCTGGCGTCACTGCGGAAAATTCCCCGCTGATCCGCTGGTCAGAGCTCTTTCTCCAGGCTGCTAAAGTCATCGGTCTCGACGGTACAGGACCCAGACACTTCACGCCACAGCTACGGAATGCAGGCTTCAAGAATATCAATCTCAAGTCTTACAAATGGCCCGTTGGTAAGTGGGCAAAGGGCGCGAGATTCAAGGCTCTCGGTCGCTTCGTCTATGAAGATCTGATGGATTGGCTTCCGAGTAGTTCGCTGGGCCTGTTCACGCGCGTACTGAAGTGGTCGAGAGAGGAAGTAGAAGTCTTTCTATCGGAGTGCAGAGCGGAGGCTAAGAGAAAAGACCGACACTACTACGCTGATGTGTAAGTTGTTGTCATCGCGAATGATTGGCTCTGCTGATTCTATAGTTTCTTCTATCATGCTCGTAAGCCAGAAGGTGCGAACGTTTCAAGCCAGGAACAAGACTTCGTATCATGGGAGGAACCAATAGATCGTGATGAGGATGATGACGACCATCACGCTAGACCATCAACTACAGCCTCTGCTTCCTCGATGCCGTTGTCTTCGGCGGCCACAGCGGAGCAGAAGTCAGAACAGTCGACACCACCTACGTCGACCACTCAAGATAAGCAGCCGTCAGTCAAAGAAGACGATAATGAAACATAGATGTAGTGAAGTCATGGAATGTATATAGGAAGAAATCGAATAGCGCAAACAAATCCGCAACGGCTATTATCGCCGCGCAAATTAACGGCGGACGTACAGAACTAGAAGCTGACAAGAAGACTTTGTATGATCCGTTGATAGAGATAAGCACAACAATCCTTCCATCATAGTTCTACACAGCCCTACTCGCCCTGTAAGCACACACACACTTCCAATTTCTCTCATGCAGGTAATCCTTCATTCATATCGGCTCACGCAATAGCCACTCCCTTCTCATGACTTTCCGCAGACGCCATTACCCTCTAGTTCTGAGACAATCCTTAAAACCAGCCTCTTCCTCCGCCAGCCTTCTATTCCGATTCCACTCCCTCTGCATCTCGCTTTCAGACCCCCACCTCCTCTCAGACCAAGCTCCCAGGAACCCGATTCCTCCCAGCACTTGTTTGACATATGGTTCGGAACCATCTAGCCTTCTTGCTCTCCAGCAGCCTTGGTCCTTGTCCCAGAGCATTAATTCGCGCCATGCATCCGGTACGCCTTTGTACTCGCTAAACTCGCAGTTGAGATGAGGGAAGAGGCGGCGCCACATTGTGCGGGGGCCTACATAGTATGGCCACTGTGATGTTGGCCAAGGTACGGGTGCATTGTCGGGCTCGGGCGCAGGTTTAGGCGCGGGTTTTCGTTCAGGTCCTGGTTTAGCCTTAGCTTTGCCTTTACGTTTGGTTCCGGAGGCGGGAGCGGGAGCGGGAGTGGGAACAAAGCCAGTAACGAGAGTTGCCGGACGAGTACGATTGGAATACTCTCGAGCATACGGGTTCTCTGCTGGTGGCTGTCTACTGCTTGGACCAGCAGCAGGAGGGGTACGACTGCTTCGTTTCGATGCAGCACCAAGACCCGAATTCAACGTCGCCTCCACACGGTGGCTACTTTCTCCAGCTTCCTGCTCAGTCTCGACTCGACGTCGGCGCCTGGGCCTGCTGTCTTGCGCCTCTTGTTCGCTCGGTTCAGCTTCGACGACGGCAAGATTACTTTCAGAGCGCAACCGCTTTGAACTCTTCTTAGGCTTCGCTGCTACTTCTTTCGCTCGATCGAGCTCACCCTCGGCAACAACTTCGTTCCAGATCCGTTTTGGGAAATGGATTTTGAGAGCGGAAGACTTGTCCTTCGATATATGACGAGGCGGAGGAGTTGGATCTCTATAGTCCAACTCTTCACCATCTTCCGTTTCTTCTCCGTCTTCTTTTGCATCTAGAGCAAGAAGCAAAGGCTGGAGATTCCTGTCAAAGTAGTCGTCCATGGTTGGAACCGTAGGCGTTGTGGCCAACGGCTGGTAATGGCTGCCAGCGGTGATAGTAGCGTTGGATGACATATTTGCTGGGCGTTTGAATAGGAAATATTAGTTATAATGTTTACCCGGGTGACTGAAGTTTGTTGGTGATAGTTCGGAGGGAAATCTGAGATCTTGATGAGTTGAGCTTGGATGAGTGTATACACTATGTTGCTTAAAGTGGAAAAAATAAGAGGGAGCGGTAGACTTGATTATATACTTTCTGCGGTGATTCGCGCCTGAGCGCGAACATAGAAATTTCTGAGGTTGAAGTCGCAAACATGGTTCCCGGCAACAGCGTTCCCATGCGTGAAACTTTTCCAACGACGCTGGTTGGACAACCACATAAACTTCCCTATCCTAGATGCGAAGATAATACCATAACCAGAGGACTACGTGGGCTTTACGGCACTGCCGTCGCCAAACGTCAGTAGCTCCTGGGTGGCACATACCCTTACTGGCCGACCATCGACAGAACGATGACTGATATACACGTGACCGCGATCTCATCCGTGGACCCTCAACAGGCCCACCTACAGCCAACGATACGTCTTATATCTCGTACCTTGGTACAACAAGCGAGATCAGCGATAACAAGAAAGGACAGCGAACCAACTATAAAGAGTAAATTCTACGTACTATGAGCATGCTGAAAATGATGATGTGTTGATAGCATCGAGAGACTTTTACCAGAATGATTACACATTACCACATGCGGCAAGACACGAGCAACTCATGGAGCCGCGACGCCCTCCCCCGCCCTCCCACTATCCATCCTGCTGAACGATAGAATCCTCTCATGTTCGGTAGCTTCCTGCTCTTTGAATTTGAATATCAGATCCATTGTGCTCCGCCTAACACTGACCAAGCTGCGTTCCTCGGAAGCGCTGTCATTATGATCTCGGTCGACGAAGCTCTTTGCGCGACTTGCATTGCTCTCCTGACTTTCCTTACGTTCGTGTTTCGGTATGCGAATGGGCATAGCTCGTGAGTGTATGGATGCGCGCCTGCTGTCGAATGAGAATCGTTTTGAGTGACTAAAGTCCTCAAGCAATCGGTCGGTATCCATACTCAAACGTGGGTAAGCATCGACACAGTTCTCATAATAGGTCGACCAGACGTGTGCACGATCGCTTGCATGCCCCACTCCAGTAGCGCCATCGCGGAATGACATTTCGTTGAGATTAGGAGCTGAAGAGTTGCGACGCGGACGGAGGGTCGCCATGGAGTCATCTGCCCGCAATTTGCCCTTGGATTTGATGACTCTCATTGAAAAATCATCATTCAGCGGCTGTTCCTCATGTTTCAGAGTCTGCACGTCTGCATGACCTTTGTGAACCTCGCCCGTCCACACATGGGGCAGCAGCTCGAGCTCAGGGTGCTCTAGGATGCCACCTGACGCGATGGAGCTGCGATGTCCTCGACCATGCCTCTGGAATTCTGTACTCTGGCTTCTGAACATCTTGGCATAGTTCTTCATGAGAGTTTTGCCGAAGGTCATGGAGTTGCTCTTTGCTATACGACCACTGCCAACCTTTTTCTGCTTCCTCTTCTCACCTGGTAGCAGCGGAGTGGACGGTCTTCGTTCTGTTGGATCAATCAAATCTTCGTCATCTGTTGCCGAGGCAAACTTGATTGCTGCCTCAAGTGCAAAGTCGCGAGGTTGAACGTTGTCGGCCTTGCCTGCGGAAGCGGTGCGGTCATGGCGCGTGTGCGATGGGTATCGGCCCCAAGCCCCCACAATGTCGGTCCTGTCGCCCTGTCGCTCAAACGCGGTGGCCACCTCTTGTCCAACATTAACGTCATCGCGCCCTACCAAAGCGCTGCGCCGAGAGACTAAGTTGTAAAGTCCCTCAGATGGCTCTTCACTAGGTGTTTGAAGAGTTGGGCAAAGCGTCGATACCCGCGTGCTGGAGCCGTCGTCAGCTCGACTGGCTGGATCTAGACCTTCGATGCTAGCTCTTCTAACAGAAACGCTCCCACTGCGTTCGCGGAAAGGACTCGCGTGAACGGCAAGGTCTTTGTTCTGTGGAAGGAAGAGTGATGCTTTCTCTTCTTGATGAGCTTGCAAAGCGCAATCCCACACATGACTAGCACCTTTGTTCCTTCCTATCGCATCTTGTTCAGTCTGAAAGCTTGTCAATGACCGAGAATGACCACGTTCACGATCGGCAGGGATTGCTAGCATATCAGATGGACCATCCATAGCGGCCACTGAAGCTTCGGAATGGAGGTTTGCCTCACTCTGGCTCCGCCCGCTAAGGCGCTTTGAATTCAAGAATTTTATGATGGATACCGATTGTGATGTCTTCTTCTTCGGCGGAGATGGACTGAACTCTTCCCGAAATTTAGAGGTTTTAGTATCAGCAACACTGTTCTTGCGTGCTAAAGGGACGGGTACGGCAAGTAGGGAGGATTCAATCGAATGGCCGACCACCGTTGTAAGCCCAGACAGTCCATGCCGTTTAGCTGGCTTCGGCGTTTCCTCGTGATCTGTTGGAAAGGAAGCAGAGCGTCGAGGCCGGCGTAGATCAGACGATGAGATACTGAAGACTTGGTTCTCAGTGCCAGTATGCGAAAGAGTTACCATCGAACCACCAAAGCTGTCAGGTGGGCTCTGTGGTCGACTCGAGTATATGGATGACGCAACATCAGGACGCGCATCGACATCTTGCGGCAAGACATTGCCCCACTTGCTCGGGATCTTTGTACTTGCAAAGCCAGAGCTAGATGTCTGTCGGTGATGGCGAGCAAGTTGTCGGTTTCGTAAAGAGACTTGGCTTTGGTCTGAGATAGTACGTTCACGATACATGGAAGGCGGGGCTGGGAGGTCTGGCGTATCGGCAAGTTGATCCCAGGAAAGAAGAGAGCCTGAGCGTAAATGGTGCGAGATGCGCATGCTATAAAGATGGACAGAGCGACGCGGGTTGTTATCCCCATCGTCTTCCCCTTCAGCTCTCCTGTCTTTCCCAGAAGGCGAGTCTTCACGAGAACAACCTCTAACAGATGTAGATGGCCTAGGGCTTGCGATAGACGTGGGCTGCTGAACACGGATCTCCACCATACGAGCAGCAGGTGTTGTAAGTGACACGTTCGTCCGGGGCGACGATGCTAAGGCGTCACTATCTTGATTTTGGTGATGGCCATGAGCATCTTTTTGAATGTCGTTCTTTTTCAACATGGTTGGAGATGCTTCAGTATTGATATGCTGTGGAGGTATAGGAAACTGCGAAAGACGGAGACTCTTATGCATCACCTCAGACCACGGCATACCAAAGGAGTCGTGGTTGGTAAGACTCGGTAGCCGCAACGGCGAGATTGGGGAAGGCTTCGGTAAACCCATGGACGTGGCCGAATGTGACCGCCTCACTTTGCGATTCCGTTCACCAGATGTACTCGATCGTAGATCGGGCGTACTGAACACATGAGTGAAACGGTTTGAGACGGAAGCGGCTTGGGGTTTATCAACACTGTAAGGGTAGAGGTCGCGCTTGAGCTCGGCACTGATGCGGCCCTTTGTAGAGGACTCAGGTGTGCTTTTGCTGCAATCAATCAGCATGGTGTGAGAATGACAATAGAGTCTACTTGCCTTCCTGTGGTAGTTGTCCAGTCGACACTGCGGATGCTTGGCCTCTTGCTTAGCGGTTTCTTGCCAATGTTCTTTGCGATGTCGTCCAGGACTTCAGCGTCTGAATCATATCCACCCTCATCGGGCTTCTTGTCACTTAGTAGGTCCTTGCGTAAGTCATGCTTGGTGATTCGAAGCTGCTGGTTTGGGTCTTTCAGCTGCTTCACTACGGTGTCGGGAATCGACGTGATGCTCTTCTGCTTCGGCTGGATGTGCGCTGATGACACACCTGAAGCGTTTTCCGGGAGCTCTTTCGAAAACTTCCGCCTGATAAGAGAGCGCATACTGGTCATCTTGTGTAGGCTTCGGATACTATGCATTGATGGGCGACTGAATCGCGCACGAAGGGCCCGCATCGGCATAGCTCGATCTTGGTCAGAGGCCTGCGCATTGTGGAAGATTTCTCGAAGCTCGTGGAGGTCTTCAGAACGAACACTCGTAAAGCGTGAGCCGGGTGAGCCAGTACTTTTGGGTAGAAGTGGGCGATTCGCTGGTGTGAGTTGGCTGAGGCGGGCATTGGGCAGCTCAGGCGATTCCGAACGATGGTCTTGCTCCGCCGTACAGCACATCTTGGTCGCCATGATGATGAGTTAGTGGAGGAGGGTCAGCTGGGTGGCTGTTCATCAAGTTTGCTGCTTTGTTGATGTTTGCGTGAGCCCACGTGAGGTGCTTGCCTGGAGCTGGAGGTCAGGAAGGAGAGGTGCAAAGTGTTTGAGTAGTCGCGACTGCATGCACTTGTAGCCTCGTATGCTGAGGGAGGAGCGCATCATCAATGTATCACCGATTGTATGGCACAAGGAAGCTAAGAATTCAGCCCATCATCTTCTTCCCGCTGGCATCTTCGCTGTATAGACCTTGGTCCTTGATCCAAGCAGCCACGCCTTCAGTGCATAGCTCACCCACCGTGTCCCATTTGCCTGCGTTTGCTGCCTTTCTCACCCTCGTCGAGCTTATACCCACGCCTTCCTCGGCTTGTACCATGTCAATGTTGTTGCCCCACGCAGCCTCAAAGCCAGCTTGCTCTTGATCACCGTCCTTCAGGTTCTGCAGGTATCTTGTCTGCTCCTCAGTCGTACCAAACTCATTGGACGATTCATCGCTCGGGTCTGTTGGTCGCTGGGTCACGCGCAGCTTGTGGCCAGCGTCGAAGAAGGGTTTTAGTGCCGACAGCGGTGGGTCGTACTTGGGGTAGTACTTGGGGTTGCAGAAGCGAATCAAGGTGTCGTAGCCTACGAGATGGATGTGAATGGGTTGCGACGCGTAGAATGGGGGTGTGGTCTCGGCTATCGCAGCCGACTTGTCACTGTAATACGGTTCTTTGGTCAGCCCGATGTCTATCGACACGTCGGAGACATCATGCTTCAAAGAAGGCGACGCGCTCTTTAGGCTTCGCGACAGGTCTTCGGCAAACGCCGTCATAAGGGCGATGCGCTGCACGAAGCTCGCCGGGCTTGGTGCCTTGTCTGCATTGTGTGTACTGAACAGCAGCAGCAGCCGATAAGGACTACTCTCCAAGGGCGCAGATTGCTTGAGAGCCGAAGTCGCGAGCGTGAGGTGGGCAATTGACGGCGGGTTGAAGGACGAGTCAAGGATGTAGAGCGTCTTCGGCTGCGTCGGCGTGTCGTTCACAGTCCGCACGACACGGAATTTGGCGGGAGATGAGGTGAAGGATTGCAGTGCAGACTCGAGGTCAGGCAGTATTCCTCTCAATGAAGCTATGCGCGATGCCATGTCAGCCATTGTGTCGCTTGTCACGAACCTCCTGCCAGGACCGCCTCGGGAGCTCAAAGTGCGGGAGCACTTCTCGCATTCGGCACGTCATTCTTCCTATCCCTGCCCTCTCACACTAGCACCAACCCCAACCTCAACTACGCAACGCCCACCCATCCCCAGCTGCGCCAGTGTGCGACGCCTCCCTCACATCTTATATCCGGATCATGGGAATGTTCAACGGTTTTGGTCGGAGAATATACAAACAAGGCAAAGACATAAAGGACAATCACAACGCAAGGCCTCCTGTACCGCCCTCCTGTCTATCAAGCCTTAATGCGCAGCTGGATTGTGTATGAATGGACCTGAACCGACAAACACCCAGACACTCAGATTCCAACATCAAACACGCTCCCTAACATCCGGCACATGCTTCCCCAGCTCCTCCACAATCTCATTCCATACTTTCCTCGCAACCTTTTCATTCTCCTCTCCCACAATGCTCTGCGTGTCAGGCTCAATCACATCGCTCGCCCAGAACCTCCCATGTAACTCTTGGTTCTGCGCCGCGCCACTAAGATATACATTGGCGCCCTGATCCGCCGTCCGAAACAGCAACGCATGCGCCACCGCCGTCACAATCTTGACCCCCGGAAACTGGACATGGCGCGAGATATCCGAGACAACCATACCCGGACACACACACGTGATGATAACCTCGCTTGACGGTATCGCTTTCGCTAACTGGATAGCTGCATATCGTTGAAGAAGTTTAGAAGACGCATACTGTTTCATCGCGCCCTTGTACATGTCCGGTTTATTGAGCTCAGTCAGAATGTTGCTAGGCTCTTGCGTTCGTAGCCCGACGGGTATCTCCACAGTCTTATGTGCGCCCGAGTTCACAAACTGCAGTATGGGTTTCTTTCCTGTGTACGTCTTGCTCTTTTTCAACTTTGGCAGGAGAAGGATACCGAGCAACGTCGTAGACAACGTGTTGACCTGCAAGTCCTCTTCCCATCCATATCCCGAGGTTTCGTAGCTCGTATTGAACACCCCAGCATTCAGAATTGCAACATCCAAATGTTCCAGTTCCTTGTCTATCCGTTGAGTGAATTGGGTGATGCTGTCGTAAGAGTTCATGTCGAGTGTCCAGACCTCAAATTCACTTGCTTCGCCGAATTCTGCAAGAAGTCGCGTCTTGACTGTCTCGCCTTTGGTCTCGTCTCGTGCTGTGATGACAATTTTTGAAGCTCCTAGTTTTGCAAACTTGACTGCTGCTGCGTAGCCTAATCCAGAGGTAGCGCCGGTAATCAGGATGGTGCGGCCTGTGAAGGATTCTGTGGACTCGGCAGGGAGAGTACCCCATTTGTTTCTTACTATCTCCATGATCTGCGACATGGTGTTGGTTGTCAAGAACACAGCGTTATTACTCTTTTTGTTTAAAATGGCTGCAGTGTGTCGTGCACTGCGGAGAAGAGACGGTAACGGCGATCTGGTGTGTTTAAGTTGCACAGATTCCGACAAAGGGCCGAAGACGGGTAATTCATGAAACTTTGTTGTCAAGCGCTTTGGGACGATCCGGAGGCTAGCGGGTAGTCCATTACGCATATATACCAAGATCTTGTAATTCCGCGACCAGATACTCGTAAGGTTGTAAGTGGTCTAGATGCGCTATCAATCCGACTTCTGTATTCCTGGTACGGACAAGATAGGCTGAGAGTGAATATAGGCTATGGACTTTGTATGCGATTCGACACTATGCAAAAGTGTCAGGCGAGAGCATAATACTAGTACATAAGATATGGCCATTAAACATTAAACTCTGCGAAACGCGAGTCGATTACAAAACTTTTAATTTCCATACCATCCATCAAGACCACACATACCCGTAGGCAGAATATCGTCTTCGATGACGGAAGTGGTGAGCGGCGCCCAACAATCCATCTCGTCGGTCCAGCCTTGCAACGAGGTGTCTAGATAATCCTTGGGTGGGACAGGTGGTGGTGCGGATGTTCGAGGGGGTGAGGAAGACTTCACTATCTTGCTGTAGGCCAAGCGTACCAGTGCCGCTGCGTCTTGCTCCGGCGTGAAGTACTCGAGATAATCTTGGAGTTGAGGAATCGGGTTGCGTTCAGGATAACCCTCGACGCGTCCAGTCGAGTGCTGGTTCCAAGCGCAATTCGTGAGGCCGGGTTGCGTAAGAAGCAGCCGCTCCCACTGGTGATATATGGCTGGCCGTTGAAGCAGAGAGTATATAACCTTGCTGTGATACCAATTCATGTTCGTTAATCCTTCCTTCTCCATGTGGCGCGCGACATGATCGCATCTCTCTGTCCAATCGGTGCTAAAATGACAGCAGAAGCCACATCCCCAGCCAGTCCTGGTCATGCGCCTTCGTTTCGCAGAGATTGCGTGAGCCTTCTTGCTGCGTGTTGTGGTGTCGGCGCAAGAGGTGCATCGATGTTTTTCTTTATGGTGTTTCGTAAAGTCCTTCTCCAGGAAGTAGATAGCAGGGCATAGGTCGCACTTGAACATCTCAGGGCGCTCTTGGTAGGTCTCTTCATGGCGCTTCCAATCCGCCTTCTCGACAAAAGGTCTTTCGCAACTGGTGCAGAAGTACTTGTGCTTTTTGCTGCATATGCGGGATTGCTTGGTCGCTGACACGCATGTCTTGAAGTAGTCTCTCTCTGGCGCAGCAGGTCTCTTGCTTTCCTTTGCCTTGACAGGCCGTGAACAGGGCTTTTCGAGCGCACTAACGACTTGCGAAGCCACTTGAGTAGGCGCATGACACAACAGATGCTCGGCCATCAGAAAATGTTGGTGTCTCGACATATTGGAGGTGTGCGAGTATCCTGATACAGACGAAGACATCGAGTCTCTTAGTGGTGTGTGGGAAAAGGTGCTGTTATTTGACGACCGATAGCTGGAAGGTACTGATGAAAAACTTGAAGCTGAGAGGTGTTGCGATGAACCGGATCGTTGGCGCATAGCATTCGCGGTTGGCCATTGTCGGGAATTCTGTTCGAAGTTCTCTGTGATCATGATCAGTTTGAGTTTCTATAGAGGAAACGATTATGGTCTTACACACCGACAGGGCTTTGCTCGTGATCGATGGGACTGTTCAGCTGATTCTGCGAGTACCCATACATTGGATGTGTACCGTTCAACGTCTCATAACAAAAGTCTCCGAATGTATCGTAGTTGTAATGCGAACCAGCGCTGGAATGTGCGTAACCGCTCATGGTGCAAATGGTAAGAAACGTAAAAGAAAGTAAAGTTACGGAGTGCGCGCAGCGCTGAAGATTGGAAGAAACTCGTCGTAATCAGCACGCAATCGGTTTCCCCATGGTTGGACATTTAAACGCAGCCATGTTCTCAGCCTCAGGCATGGCTATCGGCGAAGAGGTTAGCGTGGTGGGGGAGGCGCGGTTCACCAGCTGAAACGCGGCGAACGCTGATGGCAGCCGTTTCATGGCCTGTCCGTGTTTCGAAACAACAGGCAACCAGAATAACGGAACGCCGTCATTGGATCCAGGTGACGCATCATGCCCATACGTGCAGATTTGTATCCCCGACGCTGTTGACCGGTTGCGATGAGGAAATACGATGCGAGGGCGAGTGGTTGATGGGGAAGGCTGAAACCGCGGTAGGCGAATAGGCGATGGTTTGCCAAGAACCAGGACGAAGGTAGCGAAAATGTCCGTCGGTATTAATAAGTCGTTGCCGCATACCATGCTGACGTGCATGTATTCGATTTTTTTCAGAGTTCATCCAGAAGCTGACATCGCCGTCGAAGTGAAGCTTACATGCGTTCGCCCAACGTTGGAAACCTCCACGCAGCATCTTGCCATCTTGACCGACGTTTAAGGATACTCCGGTATATGCCGACCCTGCCACACCAATAGGTGTGTTACTGCAGAGGGGTTCTGCGCAAAGTAAGCCCAAAAAGTCGTTCGATATTGCTGTTGTCACAGCCTAACAGTCGTTGCCCTTCATAAGGACCTCCTAACAGGTTCTTGACCACGGACGCCAGATGTTTGCCTCAATCAAGCGCTCGTTGAGTTCTTCGTCAGTCAAGTACGCCCTGTTAGGGGGCCCTATGAAGGGACTTTCAAGACCACGCCAAGGGTCGGTTGAGCGCACGCTCATTGGCGCGGAGGTCATTTGCGATGATTGGGAGCTTTCGCTCCCGGGAGAGGGAGGATAATCAAACCTCGGCTCCTTCTTGAACTTCTTCCTGAGGTGGTCCTTGGGGGCTTTCCACAGGTTCTTCTTCACCCACTTCTTGGTTTTGGGCCAATCGAAGGCCATCGTGTAGTAGTGATGATAGTATGATGGTGTGTAGAAAGAAATGTGATGTTAAATGGTGAGAGTTTGCCAATTGGCGTTGAAATACCCATCTTACCACTGGCTTCTCTCACCCTTTCCAACACAAGGTGACTGGAGATGCCATGTGGGCTTCAGACGTAGTGATTGGCAAACACACTGGTCTGAAGTGCCTCGTTGTCGTTGCTGCTTTGGTGATTTGGCGCTAGTGCGGCGAAGGGGGCAGAAGACAATGCTCCGACATACTACCACCACAATCTTGTACACAATGTTCACACAACCCCCCCTGCTGATTCTAAAGACGATCTGCAGAAGCTGAAAGAAGACTTCCAATCTCATGAGGTCAACTGGGGATATCATCCTGCCCCCGTCCACCGCCACTGAAGCTCGTGAGGGCCGTCGCAGCAACTCCATTCGGAGCGCTCTGCGTCGAGGCAAAGCATCAGCTACCTCCTGGGACTCACGAAACCCCTAGCTCCTCATGGTTTAAGCCCTATGTTGTCTATTCTTGAAGGCCCCCGCGGAGGAGGGCTCAGGAAACGCTCCAGAGCCGCTTCCGCCGCCACGAAAGGCGACAGCTATGACCCATGGTAAGGCGCTCAGCGGGCTAGGAAGAAGTTCACCTCACGCAGATTGACCACTCGCAGACACGAGCTCGCTATCGACTCGCTCTGCGGCTCTGGAATTACCCCGCGGCGGAGAACCAGATGCCTACAATCATCGAAACCTCGTGTCGAATCCCCGAGTCGCGAACCCCGCAGTCCGGCAACGATAACAAGTCCTTATGGGCTACGCGGCAAAGCTTTTTGTACGTACCGTCACGCCTGTACAGCCTTCTAGCTTCACTAGACCGCGCCAACAATGGGGTTGCAGGGCCGCCTCGAGAAGCGAACAACCCCCGGAAAAAGAACAAAGGATGGACACGGACAAGGAGCGACGCTCCTGCCCTGATCTTGACAACGAAGCACAACCTACTGCGAAGAACATGATATACCTCCGCCTCTTCGGTGCATGCAGCCACTTGCTCAGAGACCGAATCGCGCCCCACGGTAGTGGCACTACAAACCGGATATTTTGATCGAATCATCCGCGCGGGCGACACGATTGCCACGAGTAAGATCATCCAGGCGCGGCTTGCCTGATGAAGGACATGATGACGCGGCGATACAGAAAGACAACTCACCTATCGAGGGCGACGCACCGCAGTGCCAGACAGCTTCCAGCAACCGTTGCGAATCCTACGGCAGGTCGCGCTGCAAACATCAAGGCAAAGCTTCGAATAATGAAAAGTCTCTGCCACAGGCAATGTCCGAAACACCATGTACACACACAAAGTTCCTGCAATGGCAGGCTGCGACGATGGACAGCAGCGTCCACAGGCAACGACGCGGCCATAGGTCAGGAGCACAATACTATCGTCCAGGTCAACATGCAGACGTGGATGAAGATGCAAAGAATATGGACCGTTAGAAACTCGATGTCGTCGAATCCATGGTCGCCAGGCGAAGATGCGCTTGCTCAACGCAAACATGAAAGAAAGTAGGGAATAGAGTTGATATCTTGTCTTTCTTATAGACGTAACTTTTCTCAAGGCTGGGAGGGACTTGCCGAAATGACCATGGTTGTCGATCCAAAAGTTGGGTCCACATCTTCCGGTCATCTGAACTCTGGACAGACAACGGATGAGCAGGCCTGCACTGAAGCTTTCAGATGGCAAGCTTCAACGCTTGAGAAGGCTGGGAACGGGAAGGAGCGCCTTGAGCCGCCTCGCTGCAATTGCAAGCTGGTCATTCTGGGTTTGATCGCTAATCTGCCGAAACATGTTTGAGTTCCAGACATGCTGCAGCTTCATACCAACCAGCGCAGTCCGAAGAGCCGTTCGAGCGTTGTCTGGAAGGTCGGACCCCTCGAATTCCAAGCTCTTGATCACACCATGATGTACTTCCATCTGGAGGCCTATGTCGTCCTTGGCGTCGAGCAGAAGATTAAAGCGTGGAGTCTGAGACCACATCCACTCGTCCGTCTTCAAAGGTTAGCGACGACAATGAGAGAAGGATGAGCAGTATGAAAGTACCTGTAGCTCGTCATATCCCTTCCGGATATCGGGAATGTTTAGGTGCTCTTCGCCAACAGTTTCCACTATGCTTGGATTTCCGAGCTCGGCATACATTGAGGCAAACTCGTCTTGCAGACGTCGCTTGAATAGTTCTACCTCAAGACCGATGTTGGAAACGGGTGAGCTAACGCTTTCGACACCCTGAGCTTGTATGAAGTTCTTAGCCGGAGATCGCAAGTAGTCTGATATGATGTGCAGGTTCGGCGAGCTCAACAACGTCGTCGCATGGTGTAAGGCGCGCTGGCGTGTGAGCTTGTATGCTGAGCCAGAAACTTTGAGGGGTCTTGGTCCACCCTGATCGGTGGTAAAGGGCGTGCGATGCGTGTCCTGAGGGTCGGCCGTGTTTTTCTCATGCCCTTGGTCGAGAACAATGTCGTGTCGCTCATTGACTCTGGCGCGGTCGATACCCAGCCTCCGCAAAGCGCGGACTACCATCTCCGCATGCTTATCTCGCGTGAAGTCGCTGCGGGGACATGTGATGCTCCAATTGAGGTTGCCCTCGTCATGGAAGACGGTGCCTCCACCTGAGCGGCGGCGTACAAGGTCGACGGTACCGATGGCTGGTGGCTCGCTGTCTTTGGCGTTGTGTCCCCCGCGTGCAGCATTGAGGATTCCCAGATTGACCTCAGTCCATGGGTTCTGGTTACGCCCAATAACGACACACGGCCTGTTCACGTACAGAAATAGAACCGTGCTGTCGGCAGGACTCTTGCGGAGAATGTGGTCTTCGATAGAGAGGTTGAGCGAGGGGTCGTCGCTGCGGGATATGTAGCTCTGCAGTTTGTTGGCGGGGTCGGCGAGCTTGTCGGTGAAGGACGAGTAACTCCCAGCGCTGAGTGTGCGTCGTAGCTGAGGAAGGAGCGAATTGACTGAGGAAGTCGCTGACCTGGCTGTCCAAAGCCCAAGGAAGCTGCGACGAGCTGCAGGCCGACTAAGAGTCGGGCATATACATTGTGAGAAGACGGCTTGGGAGCTCGACATAGTCAGACCCCTCGATGGCGCCATGACGGTCGGGCCCAGGTTGGTGTTGTGGACATGGCGTGGGTGAGGCGTTGAAGCCGCCAAAGGCCCCACGGCACCCCCGAACTAGCAAGCACCGCCGACCGGCCCCATTCTTTCCAACGTCAAACCTCCCACACACCGACGACATTCTCTGCCATCGCCCCCTCCAGGGTGCTCAGAAGGCCTATCTATTCTGTTTCCATCGCCTGCAGTGCCATGCATTGTACCTAGGTTATTTCTGCCCCTGAAACCCCGCCTTGGGGCTGGACGTGGAAGCCACTAATTATGACCACAATTCTTTCGCACCCACGAAGGCGTAGCCTTTGCGAACCTTTGCAGACCTTTGCATTCGTTACATGCTTACTTGAGACCTTTGTGGAGCCTCTGGTACCTGCTGTACGCCTCATGGGTTCGTACTGCTGCTTTGACACCGGTTGCAAACGTGTGTGTCTTTCCTTGCCGCCGGAGGTCCTGGACTGGTATAATGCCTTCTTCATCATATCATCATTCAGTCTTCCCATTGTCTACGTCAAATTCCATAGTCTTCTCGTATAAGGATTTCATATATTCCGTGGCTACATCCCACGACGGCCATGCTCGCGATCGGTCCACTTCCGCTCGTTATCTCGCCTTTACTGCTGAGATTCCCACCACCGTGAAAGCAGTCTCAACAGAACGACCCTCAACAACATGACGGTATGATTTCTTCGGAAGAAGAGAACTATTGCTCAAAGTCGCAAGGATCAATATCTATTCATTGTGGAGCAACGAACTCAAGACTTCTTCATCTAGTCATCCAGATGTGTTGGCGCAGCGGTCGATCCCGCTCTCACTTCAAGAAGAACATGGCTAACGCGTTCGAAACAGTCCCACTATCACTGATTGTTTTCTTTGCGGCCGCTATAGGCTTATGTTCGGCTTCTGCCAGTTTTCTGCGTTCTAGCGGGCTTCGGCCAGCTTCTTGATTTAACGCTACGGTTTGTAGAAGGGATGGATGGCTATCTGGTAAGTACAAGCTCTCTCCCTGATGGCCGTTGCAGCTAGCAGATCTGGATTGAATGACCCTTTTTTGCTAACATGTTATGCAGAATGCAGCACATCTCTTTCCTTTAGCATGTGGTATGCACAATAATCTCCGCATCTACATACCTCATACGCCTTTCTAGCTTTCACATTCTTCTGTCCAATATCGTTGCCTTACTCCCGGATGCACCATGTCAGATCATAGAGTTGATGTTGCTGCGGGATGTCTCTACACGTACGCAAATTAGCGAGCTACACTGCTGTTGCTAAGCCACAGAAAGTCGCAAACGCGTCAAAACGAACTACAACAGTCCCCTTTCACACGCAGCAGATACCACAGTCACCTCCAAACTCTCCAACTACTCAATTCCATCAGGGAGAGATTCCAAACCTACCTTCGTTATATAACCGCCTCCCCAAACCCAGCATCTCATCAATGTCGTTACAATAGCGTGGTGGTCCATCCCACCCCTTCACACCACCCCATCGATTTGTTCGATTCCCTCTGACATCAACTCTCAGCGCTCCGGCCGGCCTAACCTCACCGGGTTCTAGTGATGGGACACCCAGTGCCTATGGGATTAGGGTACAGTCCGCACGTTCGCTAACCACGCAGCAGAGCTGTCATAGGGGAGCCATAACGACGTAAGTACAACATTCCCAAACACAATGCAACACTACACTATGCTATTCGAGATGAACATCTTTTTCGCTATCGTCATGCAGTAGTTGTCTCAAAAATGGCACGAGAGGGGGATGAACACCGCGCTCTCTACAGACAATCAGAACATCTTCTAGTCGTGTCTTTCTTCTTTTAGCTGTAGAACAAAACCGCTGATGCTGGAAGACATGTTCGGGTAGAAAACATATGTGCTTCAGCCAATTCGCTCTTTTTGCCCTTATCTTGGCGCATCACAATCCCACCATGTACTCACTCCCCACCACCACGATCCTCCTTGACCAAAACACTGCTCGAACCCCACCCGAACCCATTACAACATCCGCTCAACACGTGCGCTCGCCTTACATCAACACTTATGAGTCCTTACGTCCACATCCTTACGTCCACATCCTTACGTCCGCATCCTTACGTCCACGTCCTTACGTCCACGTCCTTGCAAAGCGCACAATCGTCCATCTCCGGTGCTATATCGCTGCAACCCTTCACAACCGCGTTCCAGCCGCAAACATGTCTCCAGACCAGCCCCTATGAACGCTCCCTATATCGCCGAACTGTACAATAGCGCACAAAATTTCCAAATCATGAGGCATTGGATCTTTCGTCTTCGTGGTCATATGTAGCATCGTGGTGCCGAGGAGAATGAGCAAGCCGAGAAGTCGGACAACTTCAGTAGAAAGTACCAGGATATTGTCAGCCAAACCATTCCTACAAACTAACACCAGAACACCAGCGCGTCGTTCGATTTGGAGTAGAGTGTTGAGCACATGCAAAGAGCAGTCCGGGGCGATACATAGCGCGACAACCTTCGAGACTTTTCACACAATAGCGTAGATGGAAGCACCGCACTCCTGAGACTTTTAGTAGCCATCACCACCTATACTACACTCTCGTTTGGACCAAAGACCACTAAGGCACTACATGCCGTGAAACAACTGACAAGACGCACCAGAGACCGAATCGCCGAGGCCGTTAGAGCGTAATAACAAGAGACTTTCACAGTTGCTTTGCAGCATCAGGCCCGATCGGACAATTGCGAAGACGACAGCGGCATCAAACGGCGACGATAACGATGACCAACGACAGCATCGGAAGCAAAAAATGAGAAGGAGGAGGATGCAGTGGTGTACCCGGTCAGTGAACACGCTTCTCGATGACAGATGTCTTGGCGAATCCATATGGTGTTTCACGCACCGATGGAAGCCGCGAGTCTAGGGCAACTTATGTCAACAGGCTCCGGATGTCCACATGATACGACGCGTGTGGACGTGGCTACGAGCATGGTTCCAAACAGCCTCATAGGAAATAACTTTTTGATAGCAGGAAGGACGACTAGGGTTACCTGGTCATACCGTAACGTGTGACGAGAATTGGAACAAAGGTCCCGGGGGCATTTGAAATGTACGCAGGAGGCACGAGCAAGAGTGAAGATTTGAAGATCGGTCCAATGCTAGCGGAACAACTGCAAGCGCAGTCGAAAGGATTTTAATTGAACATGACCGCTTCTCCTTAATCTAGAGCATCAGGATACGAAAAAATCCGTATGGCACACAACTCTAGTCAGACAGAATACTCTCTAATGCGTTGAAGGTTAGGGTGCATGTCCGACGCTGCAGGCCCCGTCTGCATGAACCCTCCTCTGGACAGTGGGACCAATTTTGAGAGCACGATCACCAGCCCTCCAACTCCTCTCCCTTCGTCTCCAAACTTGGCGGCTGAACAGGCATACCCTTCTTTAACGCACCGACAAGTGGATCTTTGCTCATCAAGTCCTGTATCTTGTCCTCGGTACTAACATCAGCTTTAACCCGCTTATATGCCATTCTGCTTGGCTTATCAACCACATTCAAGAATCTTTCCCTCCGCGCGTCAGACCACGCAGTCAACAGCTTCTCATCATCAGAAGCCTGGCCCATGAGAACGCGGATGAGCACTTCCGAAAGCGAAGATGCATCTGCCATTCCAGAAGCGAGACCAAGCCCTGCGTACGGATTCGTCAAGTGCGCCGCATCGCCCACCAGACAGACGCGGGCGTCGTGGTGATATAGCGAGGGTACGAGGCGTTGTTGGGCTTTGTATGGTGCTACCCGGACGACCTCATATCCTATATCGCCATTCTCATGGCGTCCGTCGTTCGGCATCATGACGCGCAGTTTGTCGTCCAGGGTCCGCTTGATCTCTTCTTCGGAAACGCCAATGGGTACGCCGTAACTTACGCGCCACAGCGCTGGCTTACCATCCGCTGCATGGTTTATACGGCCAATGAGACCGTAATTTAGCGGATCCATGATGAAGTTTGCGTCGTAGAAGCCGTGGGCGTGGAAGTCGAAATAGAGATCCGTAGCTACGAGCTGGGCGTCGAGTGTCTCGCCTTCCAGACTGATACCAAGGTCTTTCCGGATGATGGAGTGGGCGCCTGACGCGTCAATTAAATAGGCTGCCTCGATGGACTCGTCGCCTAATTGCATTGAAGAGGCTTCGGGTGTGATCTGGATGCTGACGCTGCTTGGTGTCGGCTTGAACGAAGTGACGCTGGTTCCAATTCTTACTTCTGCTTTTCCTTCCAGAGCAGCTAGGCGCTTCACGAGAACTTGCTGGAACTTTCCTTGTGGTAGTAGGAGTTGACCCTTCCCTTTCATCCCTTCGCCGGAGTTGTCAAAGGTCTTGCCTGCGATTACTTTGCTGCCGGTTTGGACGCTTGTTCGGAAACACAGACCTGAGCTCAAACTTCCTGTCTTGACCAGCTCGGGTAGTAGACCTTGAACCTTGGACAAGATGGGGTATGTGGGTGGTTGATGGGCCATTGCGCGAGTCGACAAGGGGTCCGGCTGCTGCGGTTCGATAACAATCACTTTGTTGGGGATATCAGATTGAGCGAGGAGCAGGGCTAGGAAGAGCCCAACACAGCCTCCTCCTGCTATCACAATTGGGAGTGGTTTCGCATTGGTGCCATTTGTATGGGAGAAGCCATAGGAGAAGTCGGTAGAACCGTTTGTACCGTTTGTACCATTTATACTGGAGCTGTCAAACGTATGATCGCTCGTTGCGACATTCGTGGTCGCCATATTCGTTGTAGATAGTTCCGGGTCTCCGGTTTAGGTTGGACGATCTATTGGTAAGTGGTTAGAGTGGAAGACGACTGGAGGATGTTGTTGTTGAATAAGATCTAGCTTCAAGATAAGTTTAATCCCGTACTCTTTCCATGAGAACCAGTCTTCACTATACGCATATCTATGTACGGCTTTGACCGGCTATGCGACGATGTTCCTGTTGACGTGGTGCTGTCATTATGGTACCTGCCGTAACGGCCCCGATGTGGGGAACCGGCGGCTTCAGCCTCAGGGTCCATTCAACGTCGAAGCTTGTTTTGGCAACCTCTACCGAAACACCAACGTCATTCGAACAAGCATAAAGTGCAACACAGATCTTGTTTTACGTTCATTCTAGCTACCTATGGGGCCCTTGGCATATCTGGCCGTTTAGCTGGTTATGTATCAAGCTCAACGAGTGACCGCCTCTACCATCAGTATCTTGTTTGCCAAAAGCTCTCTCTACCCTGGTATGCGCCCGAAGACCCTTCTGGAGGCTAGTAGCAAGGCGTTGGGTCGTTATCAGGCAACTCACACATGCCTGATTTTGAACAATCAATCTTTCCACGGGTAAAGCTTCTGAATAGCCTCCTTGTCTCCATCAGAGATCCCTGTAGGCCATTGGACGGTCTCTGCGTTGGAATGATCTGGCGCATGCCCGTTACTGGGTGGTCCGTTCTTCCAGCGCACGAGAGGTAGGTTGGCGAGCCCGTGCATAAGATCTGCGGCGTTCGCCCAAGAAGAGTACATCATTATGGAGTTGTGGTCAATTAGTCTTCCATATTTATGGCTTTCATCTACCGTGTGTAGTGCATATTCAGCCGCTTGCCAGAAGTTGAGCTCCTTCTTACTGGTACCTAGGTATCTTGATTCGCAAGCCTGGTTGATGGTAAATCCCCATTCGGGATGCGCCGCAATTGTATCTCTTGCTTCGGTATGACCCTGCAGCTTGGAGCAGTCGAAGTAGAGATCACGATCCCGGTCAAATCGTTGATGCTCATGTCTCAAGCCGAGGACATGACCTAACTCGTGAGCAACTTCGAGGACCCAATCCTCATACCTAGGTATCCAAGTATGAAGTGTCAAGGAATGTCGATCCCAATCGATACTTTCATCGTCATAGCCGACGGTGGACTGACTATATCCCAGGCTGTTCCATGATATCACGAGTGTACCCTCGGGGACCTCAGAATTCCATGCCCACGGATGTGGAAAGCCTTTGTAACAACGGGGATGAGAGTTGGTATTCTTGGAGTAATAGTGGCGGAAGCCGTCGAAATGATGACCATTTGTCGAACCAGGTCCTAACTTGTCGCGCCACAATTTGTTCGCGCTGTCAACTACGGCAAACAATATCAGCACTTGAAGGTCACTTAACATAAGTTGTAGCTAGTTGAACTTACCTACGTCCTTGAGTGCCGAGTACGACGCATGGGAGTCGAAGCAGTAGTAGATGTACGTCACCTTGCCTGATGCGCTATTCTTGGGCCAAGCGGTGACGACTGGATTGCTCGGGCCAATGGGACTGGTCCAGCCATTGCCTCCCTTGGTTTGCAAGTCGGCGATATACTCTTCGACTAGCGAACTATTGGTGAGGCGAGGGTTGTTGAAAGGGAACATGCACGCCGAGGCCAGTGTTACGAAAAGCCAACTGAGGAGGAGGGTGAGTAGCACCATGTTGATAGTTTTGCAAACTAGACAGGATAAAGAATGTGGGTGTGGGAATATAGAGGTGAGTAAAAGGCGGGTACAAGAGCGAGGGACAGCAGGGACACGCTCTTAGCTCAAGTTAGTTGACAAGTGAAAGAATGGTTGCCTGGATACAAGTCAGAATATATGAGCGAATGCTCTCAAGGCGAGGCACATGTTGGCTAACATGGATCCATGGCTACAGAGCACCTAGGGTGCTCGTAGGTCAGAAACGGATCATTGAATTGTACTTCAGATGATGAATTAACCGTACTCCTACGCGGCTTGCTCTGTTCGATTGTTGCTATGTCATATTACAACGCAGATACATGAACACCGTGCGTCTTGTAATGTGCGTTTTCGAGTGCAACGTGCTATTGCATTTCTTCTCACATGGCTATGGCCGCACCGTCCGGACTCAAGGTGCGCGGGATAAACGATACGATGGCGGTCTCATCGATGAGGCCGGCGAATACGAAATTAATGATTGACAGCTGGTCGATGTCGGAAAAGCATCTCTCGTATGGCCGTTGGCTAAATGCGCCAAGCAAACAAATGGATGATGGCGGGAATAGGAAACATGAAAAGGTCAGGGGCATCAAAGAGCGAAGTCTTGTTCACGTCGGTGTTTGCGCTTTCAACTCCAACCCTCATGTGGTCTTTGGATCCCGCTTGTGGCTGACCATCCTTGGGAGGAGTCCGATTCTCAGAACTCGAAAAGCGAAGGAGGCATAGATTATCGTGATGGCCGAGTAGAACATAGGCTTGTAGTATTTCATCTCGTTGAGAGGTTCGATGGGTTGCGTGGCTACTCTTGGCCTGTTTGAGCTTGAGTGTGGTTGATGTTTCGACAGCTCGTCTACCCCGCGCACGCGTGCGCGTCGTCGCCGGTGGCACGAGGTGTATAGGACAGATAACGCAACTCGTGCGGACTTTTGGTGAGAACAAGTTTGCGAATCTTATCACTGGCGTTGGTGATAGTGGGGGACATGAGTTGGTCTGGAGACGAGACGGTGTTAGGTGAGATGTGGCTAGTGACGTACGCCACTCGTGGACCGCGTGGGCCGAAACATAGAACGGGACACGAATTGCCAAGTCAAGACATCCACGAATGCTCACTTAGATTCCCGATTGTCTCTTTCCTCGCTGATTCAAGTGTTCTTGATGCGGTAGCGACTGCATTACGCGTCTTTCAACATGTCTGCGCCGACCACGTCAGACCCCATACAACAAAGTGGTAGGTGAGCTTGCAGCTCTCGGAGGTGCCTATAAACTCCGCTTCTGGCTAACAGGCAATGGCAGGTACTTTGTCCAAGTCGCAGAAAAAGAAACACAAAAAGAAGGCGGCTGCTGCGAACAAGGCGGACGAGACAGACAGCAAAGTGAACGGGGGGGACCACTCCAAGAGCGACGTCGAGGACCACGACGAAGATGCCGAGGATGAAGCTGGACAGACTGTACGCGATGACCCAGACGCCGACGACGTAGACGACGAACAGCCTCCGCTATCGCCTACCATACAAACAAATGGCACCCCACACCACAGCATTTCCTCGGCGATTGCCCTCGGATTGGCACGCTCACGTTCGCAACAAGGCATCTCTGCATCCCCGCCGCCGCCGTCAGACACCAGCGCACGCCTGGACGCGATAACCAAGGAGCGCGACGCGCTACGGCAACAAGTCACGGAGTTAAAGAGCGCTGCAACGTCCGATGGCTCAAATTCAAATTATGAAGAAGAGATACGAAGCCTGCGGGAGGAGCTCGACGAAGCCAACGAGGGCAAAGAGCACTTTGAGACACAGTACAAGAACTTGCTGGGCAGGGTCAATACCATCAAGACTAGCCTGGGCGATCGATTGAAGGCAGACGCGGTACGTGTTGCTCGAGACATGCCTGTAATAGTGCTGACCATGTGCAGGCCAGAATCGAGGAATTCCAATCGCAAATCTCCGACCTCGAAGAACAGACGCGCGAATTACAAGAGAATAACAATAGCCTTACAGAGGAGCTCGCAAAGTTGCGACAAGAAAAGGAGGCTCAAGCATCCGAGATCGAGACACTGCGAAGCAGGTCGAACCTCTCACAACAAAACTGGATCAAGGAACGCGACGAACTCATTTCGCGCGAAGCATACGCACGAGAAGAGTTTGAAAATGCCAAACAAGCCATGCAAGACTGGGAAGTTTTGGCCATGAACGAGCGGTCCCTGCGTGAAAACCTTGCTGAAAAGGATGCCGAGTTGCGTGACCAACTCGATTCGATGAGAGAAGAGTACGAAAGAGCTGCTAGGGACAGGGACACCAACAACCAAGCCGTAGAAGGTTTACAAAAAGCGCTACAAGAAGTCCAAAATCGTAAGTCGCCACCAATCGTTTCACCAACTTCTGCTGACCATCCGACAGTGCGGAAAGCTGAACTCAAAAAGTCGGTCGAAACCTACGAATCGCAAATCAACGATCTTAGGAAACAAGTCCAAGCCGCCGAATCAGCATCCGCCACGGCCAAAGCCACCTTGGACCAAACGCAAAAAGATCTCGAGCGCGCCCTGCCCTTTGAAAAAGAGGTCAAAGAGAAGAACCTGCTCATTGGCAAACTCCGCCACGAAGCTGTAACACTAAACGAACATCTGACAAAGGCGCTGCGCATATTGAAAAAGGGGCGGCCGGAGGATAACGTTGATCGGCAAATCATCACGAATTACTTTTTGCACTTTTTGAGTATAGATCGGAGTGATCCAAAGAAGTTTGAGGCGTTGCAGTTGATTAGTGCGTTGTTGGGGTGGACGGATGGTAAGATGCTCCTTTGTCCTTCCAACTCCATCATATCACTTTCGATTCGGGTGTAGCTGACGGTCGTTGCAGAGCAGAAGGAGCAAGCAGGTCTTGCCCGCCCCGGCACAGCTACCTCAAGTGGTAGCCTACGCCTTCCTTTATCGCCGTTCAGGCGCACACCGTCGACGCAGAGCTTGAGTGCGGCGGCGGCGGATCCCATGCTCATGGCTAGTAGCTCTAGTAACAAGGAGTCATTGGCTGAGCTATGGCAGGACTTCTTGGAGCGAGAGGCTGCCGAGGGCAGAGTTGGCGCGGAGAGGAGGGGGAGTAGTGTGTCTCGGGCGGGGAACACTGTAAGTCCACCGCCGAGGACGGAGAGTGGGCTGGGGCTTAGTGGGATGAAGTGATGCGCTGGAAGGGGTGTAAGAATAGAGTTGCATGTCTCCAGTGCACTTGGTGTGATAGATCAAAGGTGTGGATGACACCTTGAACAGCTTCAGCTAGTTTTGATCTGCCTGTGCTGTGTATCCTAGTCCTCCAAGTATCGTGTTGTTACATTTCTCATGTACAAGTATTCCTAACGCCTGAACGCACTCATGTGTGCTTTACACGTAGAGTGGCGTGCGCTTTTCGCGCCCCCCCCGGGCTTTCTTCCAGCCTCTCGCCGAGTGTATGCTTCCTTCTCTACTTACCAGCTCTATAATTCCGTCATCACCTTTTCCAGCCGGTATGCTTCAATATTTGCTCCTCCTTCTCTTTCCTTGGATCGGGCATCATGGTTCGCGCTCTTTGGGCCGCTTCTCGCTTCTCGCGTCCGAGTTGCTTAGCCATCTTCTTGGTCGGTTGGCGGATGGACCAGTTGAGCTGGCCGAAGATGTTGGTCTTGATGGCTGTCACATGGGTTAGCCAAGGGTTTTGACCACGTTTGGACATTTGAAGTTACACACCATCCACGCAGTAGGGGCACAGGATATGTAACCGCTTGACCCTTCCACACCCAGAGCATGTATTCAGCGACGTGATGTCTTTTAGGCCCTTGCCCGCCATGAAGCGTTGTCGCTTCTTGCGGTATGACGTCTTCTTCTTGGGCACCGCGTTGAGTATGCCGTCCCAGATGTCGGCTAGTGACGGTATCGAGGGGAGAGACAGCGAGGGTATGGCGAGGGCGCCGAAGGGTGTGCTGATTGCCCCAAAAGGCTGTGAGAGGCGCTGCAGGAAGTTGGGGCTGAGGACGGGCCGCATTGGGCCATTGAGGCCGGGCAGCAGCGTCTGCCACAGCGGAGGGAGCGGGCGGGCGAGTGCCATGGCTTGCGGGGTCACTATGCGATGTTGGTGATGGTGTTGTAAAATGTCTCTGCACCCCAGTAGTCGGCGGGTCCGAGCTCTTGGGCGCGCGCCCACGGCCTTACCGCCAGAACACTAGCGCGCTTTCGCTTCCTAGCTGCCCCCTTTCCCGCGCCTGCATCTCCACGAGAAAGTCGCCAGCGCAGCGACCCTGACTATTTACTCTATTACGACGACACCTCGTACCCTTTTCTCCCCCCCAAAGCTCACCCTCACCCGCACCCACACGCCTCCATCACCCAATTCTCCGGAGTCGAGCCTCTCATCACTCACAATGGCTGCTCCATACAACCAGAACCAGTCGCAGCCCATCTTCCCGGACAGCTATGTCGGTTTCGACAGCATCACCAAGCAGATTGAGAGGAAGTCGGTGAAGCGGGGTTTCCAGTTCAATGTCATCTGCGTTGGTATGAGGGTTGAATAGCCACCTGTCACGACTGCTTCTAACGCTACACAGGACAGACTGGTCTCGGCAAGTCGACGCTCATCAACACCCTCTTCGCCTCGCACCTCATGGACAGCAAGGGTCGCTTCCAGCCCGACGAGGAGGTCCGCAGCACCACCAACATCCACCCCGTCTCACACATCATCGAGGAAAACGGCGTCCGTCTGCGCCTCAACATCGTCGACACGCCCGGTTACGGTGACCTGATCAACAACGAGCGCTGCTGGGACCCCATTGTCAAGTACATCAAGGACCAGCACAGCGCCTACCTCCGCAAGGAACTCACCGCCCAGCGTGAGAGGTACCTCCAGGACACACGCATCCACTGCTGCCTGTTCTTCATCCAGCCATCTGGCCACGCCCTCAAGCCCATTGACATTGTCGTCCTCAAGAAGCTGAGCGAGTTTGTCAACGTCGTACCCGTCATCGCCAAGAGCGACAGCTTGACCCTCGAGGAGCGTGCCGAGTTCAAGCACAGGATAAAGGAGGAGTTCCAGTTCCACAACCTGCGCATGTATCCCTACGACAACGAGGAGGACGACAACGAGGAAGTCCAGGCAAAGCAGGCCATCAAGGTGAGATCTCCGATTGCCTCGTTACCGCGGGGCAGCAGCTAACTTGCAGCAGGAGCTCCTTCCCTTTGCCGTTGTCGGCTCTGAGAGGACCGTCGTTGTCAATGGCAAGAACGTCCGTGGCCGCCAGAACAAGTGGGGTATCATCAACGGTAAGCCAGCCAGCTACATTTGTTCCCACACGAGCTCCACTAACACGCATCAGTCGAGGACGAGAACCACTGCGAATTCGTCTACCTTCGTAACTTCCTCACCCGCACCCACTTGCAAGACCTGATCGAGACGACCGCACAAATCCACTACGAGTCGTTCCGCGCCAAGCAGCTGCTTGCCCTTAAGGAGAGCTCTCACCAGGGCCATTCCTCGCGTCCCATCTCACCCGCTGCCGACCGCGAGCTTAGCAGGAACAGCCAGCGCATGACCATGAACGGGTACTAGGAGTTCCCAAATCATAATCGCGTCGATAGCAGCGGTGGCAAGCTGCCGAGCATGCGCGGCGGTGGAGGGCTAGAGCCTCGCATAGACAGACCTGTCCCCATGATCGATGCTATCTGAGTGGGAGTGCGTTGGACGGGCGATTTGCGTTGCGGACATGTTTTGATACCAGTGCATCATCTAGCACGAAACGGAGGACGAGCCAGAGCACGGGAGAGTGGGGTGACTTTGTGACACTTCAGATTTGACAACCTTTCTCAAATATCCTTTTAGTTACGATGGAACCTTGATACTTTTTCTTCTTCTCGTATGTCATAGCACGGTGTAGTGGTTGTTGGGCTAAGACGCTGGGTAGTGCCCGGTAGGATAGCAAACTAATTTGAAGCCTAGCGCTTTTCTCAACTTTTTCTTCTTGTTGCTGCCATGGAGGGAAATGATACCATTGACGTGTTGGCGCTATAGAACAGCGCTTTCGATGGTCATGGTGGTGGCAGGTCCTGCTGTCCGAAGTTGTGTGATACTCAGCCCGCGTTGTTGGACGAGCAAAGGTTCCACAAACACCAAGATGTCTTCCGGTGCTTACTCGCGGTTTTTGTTACTCCATCGAGTCAAAGAGTGGCACGGTGTCCGGGAGATTCTGGACCCAATGCGGCTGAACAAGTAGCGAGATTAAAGGCAACTTTCAGCGCAACGATTCTGATCGCCTCAACGCAACAACTTCGATCCTGCAAAGTCCTCCATACTGTCATCTCCCTTCTTTGCATTCCCACCTGCAGTCTTACTCTGTCCAGTGACGCGCACAGGACCGGTCTTGCTTTTTCTGCCGGCCGGCGCAGGAGAGCCGTCAGGGGATTTTGAAGACAAAGTGTCATCCGTCTCCCCCACGATACGTTCAATGACTTTCGCCTTGGCCCCAGCGCGTTTAAATCTGTCGTCAAAATCCGCGACAGCTTCTTCCGTATTCGCCGTATCGAATGTTTCAGGATCCGTCAACGAATGCAATAGTGTAGTATTATTCTTCAGCCTCTCGTTCTTGGAAAGCAGAGGCAGGGTTTTGTTCTCGGGCTCTGTCTTCTCGTCGGCTCCTTTGGTGTTGTTGGGAACAAGACTGGGGAGTCGTGAGCCCCATATGACGCTTCGCCCGTGGAGGTGGCCGAGTTCAGCAAACTTTTCGAACCCTTTTTCTAGACCAAAGATTCGGCCCTACATGTACGGAGGCATGGAGTCAGAGAAAAACAGCTTATCATCATTGCTTGGATCCGAGACTCACTTCGATCCGGCCGGCATGTGCTCCATCTGACGCGCCAAGGTCGTAGGCGGCTGTGTAGAGGGTGTCTTCTAGAGTTAGAATATCGTCGAAGGGATCGGTCTCGGATGCCATTATGATGACGTTTGTGAAGAATGCTGCGACCTAGGTCTTTGTGATCCACGATACGTCTTGAAATCTTGTTCAATGCTGCGGTAGAGCAGGATGTTGTTTTGTTTTCACAAGAGAAAATGGCGAGTCCGGAATGACATGCAGGATCGCAGAAAAGGTAGAGTTTTACAGATTCTTGGAATCGCAATTTTTATTGTCCCTTGCTAGTCACGATGTTTGTTTACTTGATGGTGCAGATTCGGAGTCAGCCCTAGAGGGTCCAGCCGACTCTGTGGCGTCACTGTGGCTGGCGGGGTAAGTTTTGGCGGGGCAGCTGCACCACACATCCACTGTGTGTGTGTGCAGCCGTTCGCGTTTGACTCAGAAACTCATTCAAAGAAACATTGAGCTGCATATACCCGTGTTGCGCCCTCACGAATCCCGCCCTATCTCCACAATCAACCACATAGTTCCGAGTGTACCCGAGTAAGCTTGGAGTATCTCTTCCTCTATTCAGCTCCCTCAAACTAAATCACAGAAGCATACAACCTCTCATGACTGGGTCAAAGAAGATCCTCCCCGTCGAGGGCGAGCGCAATGTGCTCATTACTAGCGCACTACCCTACGTCAACAACGTACCGCATTTGGGCAACATCGTCGGCTCCGTACTCTCAGCCGATGTCTTCGCCCGTTTCTCTCGCGCTCGCGGATACAACACACTATACGTCTGCGGAACAGACGAGTACGGTACTGCGACCGAGACTAAAGCCATAGAAGAGAAGGTCACCCCGAAAGAGCTGTGCGACAAATACTACGCGCTACACAGCGAGGTGTACAAGTGGTTCAACATCAGCTTCGACCACTTCGGACGCACACCCACCCAACAACAGACCGATATTGCACAAGATATCTTCACCAAACTCTACAAGAACGGCTTCCTGGAGGAGCAAACCACAACACAACCATACTGTGAGACACACAAGAGTTTCCTTGCAGACCGATTCGTCGAGGGCACATGTCCGCTGTGCGCATACGAAGACGCCCGCGGAGACCAGTGCGACAAGTGCGGGCACCTTCTTGACCCTCTGGAATTGAAGAACCCACGATGCAAGCTTGACGGCGCCACGCCGGTTCCACGCGAGACCAAGCACGTTTACCTTTGCCTGGATAAGCTACAACCCATGGAAGAGGAGTGGTTCAAAAAGGCGAGCAAGGAGGGAAACTGGAGTTCCAATGGTGTGCAGATCACTTCATCCTGGCTGAAGGAAGGCCTCAGGCCGCGTGGTATCACTCGTGATCTAAAGTGGGGAACAGCGGTGCCACTCGAAGTACGACAGTTCTTTGGAGATACACTAAGATCTAGCTGACCAGAAACAGGGCTACGAGGACAAGGTCATGTACGTGTGGTTTGACGCCTGCATAGGCTACGTCTCGATTACAGCAACCTACACCGAGGACTGGAAGCAATGGTGGCACAACCCCGAGCACGTCAAGCTATACCAGTTCATGGGCAAGGACAACGTGCCGTTCCACACTGTCGTCTTCCCCTGCTCGCAGATTGGTACCAAGGACAAATGGACTATGCTCAACACCATCTCGACAACAGAGTATTTGAACTATGAAAAGGGCAAGTTCTCCAAGTCAAGAAACATTGGTGTCTTCGGAAACAACGCCAAGGAAACCGGCATCCCATCAGACGTATGGCGCTACTACCTTCTTTCACACCGACCAGAGACTGGCGACACCGAGTTTGAGTGGGACGGCTTCATTGCGGCAAACAACAATGAGCTTCTCAAGAACCTGGGCAACTTCATTAACCGCGTGATCAAGTTCGTAAACAACGCCAAGATCTACGATTCGGTTGTGCCGGACTACACCAAGTTCGACGACGACTATTTCACCCAGCACAAGAAGAAGGTCAATGACTCACTCAAGACATACATTGCCGAGCTAGAGGATGTCAAGATCCGTGCCGCGCTTGCCACTGCGCTACACGTCTCAAGCTTGGGTAACCTGCTGTTGCAAGACAACCGACTGGACAACAAGTTGGCAACCGAGCAGCCAGACCGCTGCGCCGCTGTTGTTGGATTAGCCTTGAGCCAAATCCATCTTCTCGCCAGTCTGATTCAACCATACATGTAAGTACTACTTCTCTAGGGCTGTGCACTTCAGTCATACAACACGTGACTAACAGCATCACAGGCCCGACACCACCACCGCTATCCTATCTCAACTCAACGCCGAATTCCTAATCATTCCTGACACCTGGGAGGCACGTTCCCTTCCTGTCGGCCACAAGATCGGCACTGCTGGCTACCTTTTCAGCCAAATCAAGCCGGAGAAGGAGCAAGAGTGGCGCGAGCAATTTGGTGGAGAAGAGGCTCGCAAAGCCAAGGAAGAAAAGGCGAAGAAGGCAGCAGCTAAGAAGGCAGAGAAGGAGCGTAAGAAGGCAAAGAAAGATGCTGAGAAGGCCAAGGGTGTTGAGGCTGCTGAGAAGGGTCAGGATGGACCTGCGGCGAAGACCGCGGAAGAGGAGGTGAGCAGAGGTGTTGAGCAGGTCAGTCTCCAGACCTCGTAATACGTGAGTCTCATCACACGATTTGGGGAGTTATGGTGTGGCGGTTAGTGGTAGCAGCGACTGGATATATGGCAGCATGTGGGCGGGGCGTTCAAATTCAACAAACTAGGGAAGCTGCCAGCATCAAAGAAAGGATTAGAGATTTCACCGAGCAGCAGGATGATATGGTTCCTCAAGGCTTAGACATATGGTGTCGACTTAACACGTAGCCACGCGCACGACATGAATCTGTGTTACAATACCATCCTCGAATCATCTTTCACAAAGTTTCATTGCATGCGGGTCGCCGATGAAGACATCATCTGCTCATTTGTATTTGTCGCCTGAAGCCTTCCTCCATTCTCGACCTTGCACGAATTGATGTGTCTAGACGATGAGTGCATTGTCCTATTTGGGAGAAAGAGCCGCATGTAATCAGGGTCCAATGAAACTTGATCTCACCACGGCTTAAGGCAGCTGAGATTGTCAAGCAGTCCACTTCATGTTTTCTAGCACTATGGAACCAGCTCACCTTAACAGCAGTCCATGTCAGAAATGTTCTCATCCAGACTAGCAATTGGTTCTACTGCATGACGGTACTCATTTTCGGAGGAACACTCTTTCTCTCCTGCGTCGTGCGTTCGCATGTTCGGACTTGACCGCTACTATCGTGACTGCCTCAGGTCACGATGCTCTTTCCTTTTGGGTTTTCACTTTCACCATGACGACGCTGTATGATGAAAAGTGACGTCTACCCCACTTTCTGTTCAGCATGTTCGACCGCAGGTCATATGTTCGTGCTTCTGTTATTCTCCTCTTCACTTTCACTGTCCGTGCACGATCCGCAAGCTCACTGTATAGAACTTTCCAGTCGCGCCAGTCCTGTCTACTACCTATTGCAATCCATCGCGAGAGCAACCAGGTTTTTTTTCCCTTGCCACATCGCCGCCACCGCAGATCAATCGTAACTGTTTCGCGACAAGGTACAAATCGCGATACAAGACAACACCCCCTGAAGCTAAAACTACCGCAGCATCTACGAGCGTTGACTCATCATGGCGACTGGATATGCGCCCCAGATGGAGAAGATTGCAGGAATGCATCCCTCTGAGCAGCGCGAGTTCGTCGACGCCAACTCAGTCAAGAATCCGCCCAGCGCGGCCAAGTTCGACAGCAACACCAATGTGACGATGAATACACTGCCGAGCACTGCGAATAGTGACAGTGAGCAACTGCGAGGTCCTGCGGAGATGGAGAGCCTAACCATCATTTGGTCCAGGAACTGGCTCATCGCGGCCTATGGAGCGTAAGTATATCTTTGCTCTCCTTCTATTGCAAGCGTCCTCCCACCCAAAGGACTCCTTTACCGCTATCTGATGTCTCCCTTTCGCTGCTATGGTGTATGCAGGAACGCTAACAGTGCAGTATCATGCTCATCTCATTCATCAACTCTCTCCAACAACAAACCAACTTCTCGTGGAGACCCTACGTCACCTCGGCATTCTTGATGCACGGTCTTACTGCCATGACCGACATCGTCGCCAACATCGTCGGAGGCGTGTCGAAGCTACCGCTAGCCATGTTCATTGATCTTGTTGGCCGGCCCCAAGGCTTTCTGATGTGCTTGATCTTCATAATCGCCTGCAAGTCCTTCCAATCCAACTGGCATGTAATTGTCTAGCTGACTGATAACTTCCAGCTCTCATCCTCATGGCCTTGTGTCAAAACGTTCAGACATTTTGCGCTGCACAGGTCATCTACTGGACAGGCATGAACGGTGTCGATTACGTCTTCAACATCTTCATTGCCGACACTGCGCTCATGGAGAACCGGCTAATTTGGATGGCATTCACCGGATTCCCCTATGTCATCAACACCTTTGCCGGTCCCAAACTCGGCGAAACCTACCTCAAGCATAGCACCTGGCGTTGGGGTTATGGTTCTTTCGCCATTTTGACCCCTGTATTCTCCCTGTCGTTTTGTGCTGTCTTCTGGCTCATGGGCAGACGAGCACGGAGAGCGGGCGTCGAGGCACGCGAACTGAGCGGCAGAACAGTCCTTCAGAGCATCAAGCACTGGTCCATCGAATTTGATCGTAAGTCATGTTCTTGTCAAGGTAGATTTAATAATAACGTGTTACAGTAATTGGGCTCCTGCTCGTAGTCAGCGGCTTTTCTCTCCTCCTTCTTCCTTGGCCTCTCGCAACTTACCAGCACCATGGGTTCGGGTCCCCATTGGTTATATGCATGATTGTCTTCGGACTCATGCTCCTCGTGGCTTTCGTGATCTGGGAACGCTTCTACGCCACGAAGACCTTCTTTCCGTACTACCTCATGAAGGACCGCACAGTTGTTGCGTCATGCCTGCTGGGCGCCAACGCCTGGATTGCTTTCTAGTAAGTCTTTTGGCTGGTCAAAGAGACATGTACTGATGTCGAACGAATAGCTCGTACCGGATGATGTACTCGTCATACCTCCAAGTCGTATTCCAGCTTCCTGTCGCCAAGGCCGGATACATTACCAACATCTTCAACATTGTTTCGTGTACCTGGGCAATTATCATCAGTTTCGCGATGAAGTATACGGATACCTACAAATGGGGGGCCATCATCGCCGTTCCCATTCAAATTACATGCACTGGTCTGTTGATCATGCTCCGTCATCCCGGTAGTCCAATCGCGGCGCTTGTCACAGTCGAGGTCTTCGGTGCTATGGCAAGCGCTATGCTCTACAATGTTGAACAAGTCGCCATCATGATGGCCGTACCGCACGACCAGGTTGCCGTCGCCATCGCCCTCCTCAACGTCACTACTGCTGTCGGCGGTGCCATCGGCCAGTCTGTCAGCGGCACTCTCTGGGCACAGATTGTGCCTAAGAAACTTGTCGAGTACCTCCCCGAAGGCTCGAAGCATCTAGCTCCGATGATCTACGGCGACATTCGTAATCAGTTGGGACTACCATGGGGTAGCCCGGAGCGCGAGGCTGTAATCCATGCATTCGGTGATGCGCAAAGGGTCATGGTCTTGATGGGAACTATTGCCTTCGCACCTTGCTTCATCTGGGTCGCCATGTTGAAGAACTCCCGCATGAGCGAGCGCAAGGCTCGCAAGGGTCTTCAGGCTTGATCCGGCGTGCAACGGTTGTTCTCCAGGACTAACTCAGGTGCTCAAAGAAAGGTCGTACTGGAGACGATAATTCAGTAGTACCATGGGCTGAGGATATGGTTGTCGGGGTTGGACGCGCCGTGTACTATCTGGGTGGCTTTGGGGATGCATAGGCTGGATATTCGGACTGTGTATGAGATGCTCTGTGGCTATTGATGGTGTGTTCCAACCTACAGTATATATTGTCAGACAATCCCGACGAAGGGACCGACCATAGCGTTCGTCTTTGTTGATATCTGAGTTACATGATGACAATGTTCGTGATACGAAAGTGTGGTTGACAAGCAGGCAATACATGCTTTGCGCTTTCCACAACTGGGACCTCTACGCAATAATCTGGGAGTCGCGAAGGATTGGTTACCCGAGGTGCAAAGAAAATCAAAGACAACGAATTACACCTGTCGTCCTGGGCGACACAGCAGGTTGGCCATGGTCGTGATTAATTAGCTGTTGCGAACATGGACGTGTCGTTGGACGTAGGTCGAGCCCCTGCACGCACAAGACTTCGGAATCAGCGGAACACGCCGCCATGACGTTGAACGGATCCCTCTCCCCATCTCACCACTAACACACTTCGTTTCGTCTTAGCACGCGCTACTGGCAGATCTTCAGCCTCCTGGTTGCAGCAACGGGGCTCTCTAGGATGCACCCTGCCATTCCAGCGGTGCCCTGCCGGCGGTGAGGCGCCAACGCATACCAACCTCGCCAATTACCTGAGTCGTTACCTCCGTTGCGCTCCACCAGCCACTTGGGGTCCCAACCACGAGCAAGCAACCACACTTCTCACCGAGCTTGTCATGCTTCTTCCTGCACCTGTACCGTACCGTTGTACTTGAAATATTCTCCGGTTTGAAATCACTGGCAACAATGCATCTTCCACACCTGCTCGCCCTCCCGCCTGCTATCATCGCTCTTTGCGCAGCAACGCCAGAACTCGCCGCAGAGGAATCGCAATGGCCGCACAACGTACCCCGACACCTGAAATACTTCCCCGAAGACGAAGTCCACGCAAAGCGCGGGCTGAGCGTCAAGCAAAGACTGCAACATGAGAAACCCATTGGAGTGAAGAAGATGAGCATGGACGAAGGCGAGATGTTCATGCTGGACAACTGGATATTCGCTGCCCAGGACACGCCGTCTCAACCACAATCCTCGAGGAGATCAGACTATGACGTCTTTGGCAATGCAACCTCTCAGGCTCTCTCGCCTCTGCGCCCTCTAGCGCAGTCTGACTGGCTGGCGCGTATGCACAGCAGAGATATACTGATGAACCGCCAATTCAAGTGCCCAGATGGAACGGCGAGTTGCGAGGCTATTGGTGCACCGGATGTGTGCTGTGGCACGGGAAGCACTTGTATCAGTGTGACCGGGAGCTCGGTTGCAGGCGATGTGGGATGCTGTCCTAGTGGACAGACTTGCGCAGGCAGTGTGAGTTGTGACGAGGCGAGCGGATATACGAGTTGTCCTGGGACGGACAATGGCGGGTGCTGTTTGCCGGGATTCAAGTGTCAGGGTATTGGATGTAAGTCGCCGCATCTTCTTTCGTCAACAAGTTGATTGGATTCAAAAGGCTAATTTGAATAGGCGTTGCGGAAGGTACATCGACGTCCTTTGTCCAGCCCTCTACTTCTTCATCCACTCCGTCTGCCACTTCTACTTCGACAACTGCCGCCGCCATCCCAACCACATCATCTACAACCAGCACGACCCCTGAACCAACATCCACCTCAACCTCGCGCTCCGCATACACTTGCTCAACAGGCTGGTTCTCATGCCCCGCCTCCCTCGGCGGCGGCTGCTGCATGAACGGTCGTACCTGCGCAACCGGCGCCTCTTGCCTCGGCGACGACGACAACCCCTCTTCCACACGCGCTCCAGACGCCCCTGTCCGTCCTACCAGCGCCGCCGTGACAACTGGCGCCTCCAGCGACAACATCTGCCCCACGGGCTTCTACGTTTGCAGCGCATACTACCCATCCGGCTGCTGTCGTGTGGGCAGGGATTGCCAGACCACCGGCTCCTGCGCTTTGCCTCCGTCCGATACTATTGTAAACACCAACGGTGTGGTCATTGTGGCGCCGACGGGTGCTGAGAGCGCGGGAAGCTGTCCTAGTGCGTGGTATAGCTGTCCGGCGGATGCTGGTGGTAATTGTTGTCCCAACGGGTACGCGTGTGGTGAGCAGTGTACAGCGACTGCGAGTGGCCAGAGTGGCGTAACGAGTAAAGCGGAACCCAGCAGCAGCAGCAGCAGCAGTAGTAGTCAGGCGAGTTTTGTTTCGAGATTGAGTGTCTGGGGAATGGCCGTAGCGTTCTTCGGCTGTGGACTTGGTATGATTGTGCTGTGATGCAATGATGAATTTCGATAGGGTATGCTTATGACGTTATGAGGATGTATGTATATAGAGATGATTTATGTAGAGCCCGATGTATATACGAACGAGTTACACTACCAAAATGACTTGGCCTTTTTCTGTAAAGACCGGATTCTTACTGTGAGTGAACATTTGGAGCAAACATTCGACGTTCCGTAACCGTTTGAAATGCTAAGTGTACTATGGTTCAACGTAAACACAAGAAAATCAGCCATCAATCAACCTGATGGAATACGCCCTTCAACGTTACACAAGTCGCAGTAGAATATATCCGGGAATGAATAGCCAAGCTTCAACCAACATCAATGGCATTGAAAATACTACATTGCGTTCCCAAGTTCAGCAACAAACGCCCAAAATCTCCAAGCCGTCGTCTTCATAACTTGAAGCTTCCCGCGCCCCTCTTCGCAGCCTCCTTGACCTCCTTGCCCTCGACGTCAGTAAGCACGCCCTTTCTTCCAATAATCTGTACACCGCCCTTCTTGAGATCACTGACGAGCTGCTTCTTCTCGCCCCTCTTCTTCTCCTTGCCCTCTGTCTTCTTTTCCACCGGCTTGTTAAGACCGGCCTTCTTTGCTCTCTCCTTGGCGCGTCTCCGCCTGGACATCTTCTCCTCTCGCGACATCTCCTCGCGGGCAACTGGCATACCACTCTTTGTGACAATCTCCGTCTTGGTATTCTCCTCGCCAGGCTTGTAGATCTCCTGAGGCGCGAGCATGCTTGCACTGGCCACCTCGCCGCCAGCAGTGGGCCGCGCATCTTCCATTTCGATAGCAGGAGCGTCGGTGCGGATCTCCAGGTTAGGAGCTGCAGGCTTGGGTTTGAAGTGCGAAGAGCTGAGGGAGTCGAGCTTGGCGGATATGCTTTTCCAGAGGCCGGCAATCTCGTCGTGCTCCTTCTTGAGCTTCTCATCCTTGGCTTCGACGAAGTTGGGATCGGTGGCGCGGAGGTGCTCTTCTTCATAGATCTCGGCGAGACCTTTGCCGGACTTTGTGTCGTCGAGTTCGATGCGGCCGCGGCGGGGGCCGGTGGCTAGATCATCAGGTCGTCGGCGATGTATCTCGTCGAACTCTCCTGCTAAGATGCGGCGTTTGATTAGGGCTTCGATGTCTTCGGAGGTTTCCTGTGTGACGATTGGTACGGGCTTGCCGGCTCGCTCAAACTCAAGATTCTCCTCGAGAAGCGAGTTTAGTGGTCGGTCGGCTGCACGAGCTTCACCAGACAGCTGCCATTCCCGTTTCGCGACGTTGGCCGCTTCCAGCTTCCTGATCTCTTCTGCGATCTTGGCCTGTCTTCGTTCGTGTGTTGATCGCCTCGACTTCGGATCTGCAGGATCTACGTCTGATAAATCGCCTTCGCTTTCGACATCGTCGTCGTCCTCGAAGAGATCTCGGTGTACCTTGGCTATAGTCTTTTCTACGTCCTCTTCGATTTCTTCTTCCGGTTGTGCCTGCTTCTCAGGGAAGTTGTGGGGGTTGGGCCGTCCGCGCTTCTTGCCGCTCTTGTTTTTGCTCGCCTTCTGCGCGGGAGGTGCGAAGAAGTCCTTGTACATGACGTTGTTGGCGTTCATGCCGGTATCAAGGCCATCGAGGTCACCCTCCTCGACGTCGTCTTCATCGCCACTATCGCCTTCTGGTGCATTCAGATCTGCATTGCCAAAGGTTGGCCCACCTTCGTCAGACTCATCGTCTGATGCATCCCCTCCAACACCATTCGCCTTGATTTTGGATGCGCCGTCTTCCATGGGATCTGCTTCCCAATTTACCTCGTCATCGTCGCTATCCGCACCCTCCCCTCTCTGATCCTGCTGTTCTAGGAAGTCGGTCTGCTTGTTGAAGTCGTCTATAGAGAAGAAGCCGTCGTTGAGACCGTTGGGGTCGGGTTGGTAGGTCTCAGCGGGTGCATCGTTGGACTCAGCATCAGAGAAGATGCCCTCTGCCCCGTCTTCCATGTCAATGTCCTCGTCGTCCTGCTCTTCATCCAGCGCGTCTTCGTCCTCGTCTTCGTCTACTCCATCGTACTCCCAATCTACACCCTCTTCACCTATGTCCGAGTCGGTGTGGTATTCCTCTTCAGCTTCCTCGATGCTTTCATCGTCGTCTTCGCCGTCGCGCACAGCGACAACTCCGTCTTCTTGGTCGGGTAGCGAAAGTTCGATTTCATCTGTCGTCGCCTCGACAATCTTGCGCGTCTGCTCAAACACCTGATTTACGCCGAATCCGTCCAGATGCACCTTCTTCAAGTGTAAGACGGTGATATCATCGTCGTAACCCCCGCCCCGCTTCCGCTTCTTGCGCAGATCTTGCTGTCGTTGGGATTGCGACGCGCTTACGCCGGCAGCCACCGGGTCCAGGTAGCGTTTGGCGGCGGCTAGGAATGTCGCATTGAGCTGCGGGGTGGGCTGGAGAAAAGCGAGTGGTTTGGTGAGCAGACTTGAGGGCGAAGTCGCGGCGGACGGCTGGAGTTCCATATGTGGTGGCTGGGCGGATCCGATTGAGAGAGTATGCGAAGAGATGGATGTGTCGGGCGAGAAGGAAGGCGGCGCCATGCTCTGAATGTCTGTGAGGCGCTGGTGGTGAGTGAATGCGCTGCTGACTGCGGTTTGAGTTCGCGCCTGCCGCTGAACTTTTTTGGTGGAGCTAGTGGTCATAGCGTGCGTTAGCCCTATCAAGTTCCGGACCATTTCTTCCGACCTCACATGTATTGCACTTTGAGACCGAACCCCCCCAAACAATGATAAAACATCGGATTTGATTACTACCATTTACTTGCGAGCAGAGTATTGATCCAGCATAGTCTCACAAGCCCGCGGTCAGCCCAACAACCCCGCCACCCATTATAACCATCGCACTACACCTTCATACCGTATTATGCACTCAATGAATTCCAACGTTGGTCAACGCCATGGGTAGAATTGTACAAGTCCACTCCATCGTCCCCCACACTCTCGGAATCGATCATCCACTCATCGTTGCGGGAGATGATCAGCCCTCCGGTCGGCTCTGTCTTGCCAGCCATCCGTCCGCTCTGTCTCGATGTGACTTCCGACCGGTCCGTCAGTGGCACCGATCCGCTATAGTCATGTTCGCTTCGGGTTCTGCGAGACCAGACCTTGAGCAGGGGCGCACATGGGGGGATACTCGAGCAGACAACCGCAAAACACATGCATACAATGGTCCAAATGAAGGCGTCGATGTCATCCCATGCGAGATCGCCCCCGTTGATGACCTGCGCGTAGTATACAATGCGCACAATGTTTGTTGCTGACACAAAGATTCCCAAGCTGAAAGTAACAGTAAGACCAATCTTCTTCTTCAACGGCAGCCGGAGGTTCCACAACAAACGACTGGGTAACAGCATGATGGCTATTTCGTTAACGAGGTCCAAAACGACTGGCACGACAACATGCGCCACCTGATCCATACAATAGCCTTCCGTAGGTCCGTTTGCCGGTGCTCCAGGGAACATGAGGTACACACGGTTCCAGAAAACTGGCGCTGGGATACACTGGAGGATGAAGAGCAAGGTGGTGCTTATCCCAAGAAGGACGCAAATTACCGTACATATGTATACGCCGTTGATGAAGAATCTGTCGTGATGTAGCATACCGAAAACTCGAGCATAGAGGCTGAGGACAGAAAGTTTGGTGCAAGTTATGCTCAATGCTTGGAGGATGCTTATGATATAGCCAAACTGTCTCCAAATCAGTACTGCAGATGTAAAACATATAGGTACTAAAGGCGTACCATGAATATCGTCGCGACGTTGTGGGGCGCTTCAGGATCTTCCGCAATAATTCGAAGCTGGTGCCGTTAGCTACCGCGCATGTATAGCTCTTTATTACCCACTGTATGTTTTCCGAAGCCATAGTCCAGAGCTTTGAGCATACATCCGGCAATACCAGTAGCAAATACCTTGGATCTAAGTCAGCCTCAGGTAGAATTGAGATCTCGCATCATGCTACCTACCCCAGCAGCAAGAGCCAGCCAGTTGTCAGCATGTTTCCACGGATTTGTAACGAACGACTGCGCATAGAATCTCAAGGCCACAGCTACGACAAGCGTAACAAGACATACTACATGCACTGCAATGACTTCGTCCGATCGGTCTTCTGCCCAGTGCTGGAGCTGAATCTCGGTGGCGTTCGACATCTTGACGCCTCACGTCAAGAACTGGTGGCTTGGGTTTAGGATAACAGTGGTGCACACTCTGTTCTCCATGTCAAATACGAAAAACGACCATGCGCATAGGAAAATGCCGACCCGCAGATGACGGTCAGCAAAACGCCGAGCCTGCGTCTGAAGTGTGGGTGTGTATACCCATTGGATGGTAGCGAGGTAAGCAACAAATAGGCAATATCCGCCCATTGCAACACAGTGTTTCCTATATCTTACGGCAGCCTGGCAGCCAAGGTTGGAAGGCTCCAGGTATGCTTCAACAGCACCCCTGCCGTTATCCAATACCGGTACTCCAACATGTACGGGTGAATTAACGATCGCCACACACCATAAGCCATAAGCACCGAAGACAGATTGCTGAGCTACGAGCAATCATTATTGAAAGTCTTCCCGTTCACCAGCACCTAGCTTTGGTGCCTGTTGATTCGAACACTGGCGATTAGACTGCACTTGCATTTGCATTAGCTGCGGTCCCGGGGCGCACCTTCCCCGAGCCTGACCGTTGCTTACCGGTCGACGCGTATCCCGTATCTGTACCTCATCTCAAACGGACTGTCAGATCCTTTGCTATGTATGCCTAGGAAAAATCACGGCCTTCGCGAGGGAGAACATAGAACGGAGCGGCATGTTCCCCTTTTGTGGCGTACTTGCGCATGATCTGGAATAGGAGCCAATCAAAACACTCCATGATGAACCCTCCCACCACGCCGCAATAAGCGGCACAATGTATATATTGCCGGGACTAAGTCGCGTCAACTCACACTGGTTGGACTACTACCATGTTTACACCTCCTACCTCGATTAGCAAAACCCGGGACGCCTGCAACAGATGTCATTCCAAAAAGCTCCGGTGCGAAGGAAACGGGCAGTCTTGCACCAGATGTACGCAGGCAGGCTCAGCGTGTATCTTCAGCCCGCGTCAAGCGTACAACAGCTCGAACAGACGGCGGCGAGCAGATGCACCGAGGACCGCAAGGAGATGTTCAGCCAGCATCTCAACGCGTTAGTATACCAAGGGCCACAATTTTAGTCAGCATCACTGAACCCCGTACAAGGTTCTACATCACAAGAACCGCCTGATTGGACAACAACAAACCTGGGGGCGCTTTTGACTCCCGCCTCGGACACTGCTGTCCTACCACTGCCACGGGACGAGGGGATTGACTTCTGGAATCATGACGACTCGGGTAGGGCAACAACCAGCGCGTTCTCGGGCAACGCCATTGCTCAAGAAGTTAATCAAATCTTACCAACTGACGTGTTTGGGTCTGGTGCCACCATATTTCCCCGCGCGCGTAGCACGGTTGTAGAAGCCACGCTTTCTTCCGTGGTCCACGACATCTTCCACAACCTCGGTACACTCCGACTAGAATTTAGAGCACTTGATGGATCTATACAGTATCCGGAAGTGTATGCGCGCATCTTCCAAGTATCGCAAGCCTTTGTACAAATACTAAAGGACGTTGAAACTCAGGATGTCCCCTTTCTCGATCCCAAGGATCGTACTTGTGCTGAAGTGGAAGATGCGGATATCGTCTGCACAATGTCGTGCTTTCTGAAGCTTTTGACAGGCTACGATCGGATCTTTACATTTTGGCTCGATTTGATGACCAGCTCCCTAGAAGACGCAACCGTGAAGGCGACATTCCGCCACACAATCACCCACTTGTTACCGACTGTATCCATCGGCTCTTTTATAGCACCGCCTTGCTATCTCTCACAGCTGCGTCTGGTCCTCGACGTAGCCGGCCGAATGTACGACGAGTTCCAGGATGGGCTTAAGCGCTTTGCCAAGACGCTCAGCGAACGTGATCGTGCGACTTCGATGGAGCGCATTTCTTACGTATCTGATACGACTACTGAGCTGGTCATAGGTCGCGAAAGATCAGTCGCTCTAAAAAAGCAGAAAGTGCTGGAATGTTCGCAAGATGAGGGTCTGAAGAGGCGTTTCGATACGACGCTCATATCTAGCTAGTATACTTGTCCATTTTTCTCCTGGCTCACATGGAAAGAGCACGAACCACCAAGCAGTCGGGTGTATTGAAAAAGTAACAAGATCGTGTAGAGATGTCCAACACGAAAAGACGGACATGGAACAAACGTACACATTCCATCATTTCTTCGCTTCATCTTTGGTTTCGAGACCAAACTCCGTCTTTATAGTGTCCTTGAGCTTGATTTCTTTGAGAAACCACGTTGCTAGAAATCCCAAAGCCGAAAACGCGATGAGAACCTGCCAAACAGTCTTGAGTGCACCTTGGTATGTTTGGATGAGTTCGGAGCGTGTCGGCTCCGTAAATGCGCCAATGTAAGCAGCCGAGGCTCTCTCATATGCCATACCATTCTGCAACAGTGCTCGTACATTCTCGTCGGTGATCTGATTGGACAGCTCTCCAAAACGCGTATTGAAGATAGCCGCTGGAATCGAAACTCCCCATATTGAGCCGAGACTACGGAGGAAACCCCACGTAGCGGTTGAGGAAGCGACGTCGCTTTCAGGAAGACTGACCTGTACAGCTGGGAGAGTTGAGGTGGTTACGAGTCCAATACCAGCGGCTCCTATGATTTGAAAGACTACCCATTCAGCCATCGATGAGGCAGAATCAAGCATGGTGAAAAGTCCCGCGGCAAGAGTCATAAGGGCAAAGCCCACAATGTTCAGCGGTTTGTAACGGCCAGTAGCAGTGACCAAGCCACCAGCAATGATCGCGAAAGGGAGCACTACGATGACAGTAGGCAAAAACTGAACGCCCGACCGGGTGGGACTACTTAACAATACTGCTTGGAAGTACAGTGGTAGGAAGTAGGTTATCCAGTAGAGTATCATGCCGTGGACAAAGACTAGTACAAAGCCAGTAAGCGAGGTACGGTTGGTGAAAAGCCTTGCAGGAACAACCGGCTCCTTCTGACCACCAATTGCTTCATATATGTGGAACCCGATCAATCCGAGAAGCCCTAGAACGAGAGGCACGATTGTACGCCAAGACGACCATGGGCAAAGTGTTCCTCCGTAGGTTAAGGCAATCAAGATGGATACCATGGATAACGTGAGGATGACGTTCCCGGTGTAATCGAGTCGCTTGAGTTTGTTCTTTAAGGCCATTTCCTTGTCGTACTGAACTTGCAAGAAGGCGATCAAGAACATCAGAGAGACACCAGCTACGGGAAGACCGATGTAGAAGACCCAACGCCAGGAGGCTCTATCGACCAGTATACCCCCCACAAAAGGCCCCAGCGACGAGCCAACAGCGAAGAAGGCGAAAACGACCCCCATGACAGTGCCGCGCTTTCGCTGTGGAACTAGATCGCACACAATAATGTCGATAAGCATGTTGACACCTCCAAGACCGACGCCTTGAAGTGTGCGTCCAGCGATGAGCATTCCAGCGGATGTCGAACCTCCAGCAATACCGCTGCCAAGCGCAAATACAGCAACTGTGAATATGATAGGCCATCGGCGACCAAAGACGTCGGCCAGCTGTCCGAATAATGGCTGTACGACCGCGCTGATGTAATTTTAGTTATATGGACAATATCAGGATATTCATGGCACAAAGGTGCAACTCACCTAGAGAGAAACAGTGCGTTAACGAACCACACATAGAGTTCGCGAGAATCCAGCTCATGAGCGATACTGGGGAGCGCTGTGGCGGTAACAGTGGCTTCAATTGCGGTAAGAAGGGAAGTAAAGCACAGGCTGAGGATAATCATCCAAAATCGCCATCCGTAGTGGGTCGTATCTTTCGGGAGAGCATCGTCTACCTGACCCTCTGGTGCCAAGCCAGTCTCTAGAGTGTGCGTGTGTTGCGTAGCTGAGAAACCTTCCTTGGTCTCGCCATCGGGTGTCGAAGTAGCAGTCATGTTGTTTGTGTAGAGAGATTTCAAGTGTTGAACGCAGATGCAGATGCGGATGTTGGTCAAGGCGATGACATACGTGCAAGTATTGGAGCCACGGACGAGAGATTTCGGCTCCCACGCATGATTTTCTTGTCGACATTGTCGAATTCGCCGGGACCTGCAGTAAACCATGTACGAGAAAGTGAATTTGTGATCCGATACATTGGTTCGACCAGTGTTTGCACTCCCGCTGCTTTGTTCCATTGGCACTCTAACCCCTGTTCGGCGAATTTGCGCGTGCGTTTTGCTTACTTACATGCTGATACGAGTGTGCAGGCTGAGAACCTTCCCGGCGTGTTCGGTATTTTGACCAATGCCTCGTGTTAATGAAAGCGTCCAAGTACGGACAGAAGGTTTATCTCGTTCGAAGCATATCATTTCGAATCAAAAAGCTAGCATTACATCTTCGCCACCATGCATCGATTTTTCAAATCCGAGTTCTTCAACTTTGAGTTCTTGCGCATTCTAAGCACGACGCGCTATGGCGGTTGTGAGATCGGAGAAGCTCTGGAGGCTGCGGCGCAGATCAAAGACGGTGACCCGCATTCATGGAGTACGCAATGGTCACTCCTCAGTACCAAAGCTGAGGAATTAAGCAAAGAAGCGCAAAAGGCGGGCGACACAATCACGGCCCACAATGTCTTGTTGCGAGCAAGTAACTATCGACGTGCAAGTCAATACATGCTCAACGCGCCCGATCCTACGGAAGCAGCCTTGGCGGTTACCAGGCTAGAGAAAAGTGAGGCCCTATTCAAGCAAGCCCTGTTGCTTCAGGAAGGGGTCATGGTCCATGAACTAGCGATCCCCTACGGCAAGGGCATACACCTTCCAGCATACTTGTATGTGCCAACCCAATTTGAAAAGAGTAAAGGCATACCTCTGGTCATCAACCTCTCAGGAGGCGACTCCACGCAGGAAGAGATGTTTGTGGTGTCTGCGTGCGCCGGACCGCCGAGAGGATATGCAGTCCTTACCTTTGAAGGCCCAGGACAGGGCATCTTGCTGAAATGGGAAAGGTTACCCATGGAACCAGCCTATGAGAAGGTAACATCCACGGTGCTGGACTTCCTCGAGCATAACAACTCGAGTGACCATGCCAACTATGGGTTGGACCTCAACCGGATTGCCGTTGTAGGACAGTCGATGGGCGGTTATTTTGCATTGAGAGCCGCAGCCGACCAGCGTGTCAAGGCGTGCATCGCGGTCGATCCTCCATATGACATGTGGGATCTGGCGCTCTCTCGTATGCCGGGATGGTTCATGGGAGGATGGGTCCGCGGAATTATCACAGACTCCGTGTTCAAGTGGACGGTGGGTCTGCTGTCAAATCTCAACTACCAGCTGAAGTGGGAGGTGGCGCACTTGCAAGCTATGTCGGGCGCAGACAATGCGGCAGACGCTTTCCGGTTCTTGAAACAGCTCACCCTGAAGAACGCTGATGGGAGCGAATATCTTCGTAATGTCAAGTGCCCGGTGTTGGTAACCGCGCCAACCAACGCAATGTACTTCGATCTTGAAGTGAATTCGAAGAAAATCTTTGCGACGCTTGATCATATGGAAGATGGAAAAAGAGAGTACTGGGTCCCTGACACATTGTACGAAGGCGGACTGCAGGCCAAAGTGTGTGCTTTCGAGTTGGCAAATTATCGCATCTTTGGTTGGTGCGATAAACATCTGTAGATATTACGTAGCAGCAATGAAAAACAGTGCCCTAACAGGCATATTTATTCACGTACAACATATCAGTCGTTGCCGTTAGTCAAGTTGCTTCGGAGAATTTGAAGCCTGTACTGTGGGGTGCACCGTGGCGTTCGTTTGGAGACCAATATGCCATCATCAACCCGGGTGCTCCTGCTGATTGTCTGAGCGACAGGAGCAGCATGGTGTGATGAGCGGCGATTCTTCTATGGTGCTTTCAACACAAAGCAACTGACGAAATCGCCGAAATCTCCGGGTACGGGTGAAGCTTTCATATATATCCTGCATAACGGGACGGAGACTGCCGCTACATCAATACAGTTTTGCCGTCGTTCAGCAATCAAATTCATATCCATTCAAAACCCCGCAACGTAATGGCACCACAGAAGGAAGTCGTTCTTAGGCTAGCCTCAATGCGCTACTTGAAGGCTGGCGTCTCGGAGGAGGACTTCCATGAGTACTCCACCAACTACCATGCACCCAAGGCAGCTATCATCCAGGCGCGCCATGGCGCTCTCAGGGTCTCCCAAGTACGTATGGATACCCTGGTTCATACCACTGTTCGTAACGCGATGCGTAGATCCATTCACCAACTGCCCTTCGCAACCTCTTCAAAGAGAAATTGCCATGGGTTGTCAGGCCAGGCTGGAAGGTTGATGACCATGACATATCAGTCGCAGTTTGGGTCCGCACGTCGGAGCAAATGCAGGCGATCGTCACTGATCCAGACTTCCAGTCGTTGATCGCAGGCGATGACAAGATCATCGATGTGGAAAATGTAACGGTTACGGCAGGGTGGGAGGAGGTTTATATTGAGGACGGCAAGATCGTGAACATTGAGGATGGGAAGAGCCTGTATCCGCCGTTCGCAGAGTGCGTCAAGGTTGGAGATTTGAGTGTGCGCAGCGAGGTGACAGCGGAGGAAGCCAAGAACATCTAAGTAAATCTCGAAGATCCGTCGAATGAGACATACGCAGTGTATCGAACCTCAGCTCGAAGAGTCGCCATAGGGGTGCTGTGTGTTAGATTGCGAGCTGCGGCATGTTTTCGCTGCGGATTTCAAGGTCAGCCGCGCACCTGGCACAGTTGAATTCGTGTACGTATTAGCGTTAGGTTCCACTAGAAGCTTGAGTGCCTGATTCAAAATCAACCCATAAGCAACATGAGTAGTTGTCCTGTAGTCTGTGTAGCGCCTAAATGCCATGACTCGAACGGAAAGATGGATGTGCCAAGCCTGTTGCTAGCGTGGATTGACTGTGGCCTGTGCGCAAAAGGTCCAGCCCGTCATCCTCTCCTATCTGCTTGATTGTGCTCTCTCATAGCGAGACTGTATCGCAGGCCAAGCCATCTTCAAAAACGAGCTCTTTGCTAGTAGGTACGCGCTCTAGTACTCGTTACCTGCTTACTATAGCTCTCCGGCACTGTAAGGTTTTGGCGTTGCCGGCGTGGCTTTCTAACATCAGCAAAACATACATTGCATCACCATCTACAGCGCCATGGCTAGAGAACAGGCCTGCGAAATGTTCTTATCTGCCAACTACATACACAAGCTTCTTCCCTGAGACCTTGCCCGCTCGCAGCATTTCGGCATCGTCTATGATGCTCGCTAATCCACCGTCCCGCACCTCGATCGGATGCGCAATCACAATACCTTTCTGAACCAATTCCTCCATCTTAGTCGTCCATCTCCCCGCGAAAACAACATCTTCTGGGGCTGCTGCCTTCTGATATTCGGTGGTTAGCTGAACTCTGTCCCCGAAGACCGAGTAACCAAGCACCCAGTCTACAGAGATGTCGCGGCGTCGCAGTGCAAGCCTCCTGGGGAACGGATTCAGTGATACATATCGACCCCCTTTAGGCCCCACTGCCCGGTAACAAAGCGATGTCGAGGCATCGTCGCCGATGCAATCGATTACGTACTGGAGTTTCCCAGCGCAGAACTCCCATATGTCATGGCCGGACGTCGCTTGCGCGTAGTCGAAAGCACGCTGCGCACCGGCCTTTTGGACCAGAGCAAAGTTGTGCGGTGAGCACGTTGTGATCGTTTCGAAGTCAAGATCTCGCAACAACTGCAGAGCTATTGTCCCGGTGGCAGTGGAACCACCATACACAAGAATGGGTACTCGTGTTGTGTTTGTCAATGTGGATGCGGCTTTGATGGCTTCGCCAAAGTCGTCAACAAGGCCCAGACTTCTGAAGGCCAGGCCGCATGTGACCAAACCAGTGTTCTATGATGCTGCCTCTGTAAAGGTTGTCGCGCTTGGAAGTCTGATGCAAAAATCGGCTTTGGCGACAGCATACTCCGCAAAGGCACCATTGTCTGGTCGTGCCACAGAGCCACCAAAGACAAATGCGCTCACTCGATCACCAACCGTGAGCTTCGCCCCAACATCTTTACCAAGCATCGCCACAGTCCCTGCCATATCGCAACCTCCAATAGTGTCTTCAATCGCTGCATGCTGTACTGACTTAACGTCGGATGGGTTGAGAGCTACTGCATTGATGTTGATGAGAACCTCGTCATCCTTTAATCGTGGTATTGCCATATCCAGCCTCAACTGCCATGTCTTTCCCTGTGTCGCAACCAGCGCTCTCTGATAGGTTGGAATGCTTTGCGTAATGTCGGTCATTGTCGCAACTCCGTCGGATCTTTGAAAGAGGCCTGGAATAGTCAAGCTAACTTTTTTTCTGAAGCAGCCAAAGGATGTTGACGCGACTTTCCTCAATCCTGTGCCAGGCTTTGACCTTTGTGTAGCCGGCCTCGGTCTAACCGCGAAAATCCCGATGAACACTCCGATGAACCATGCCCACGTCAGCCGGCGACTTCATCTTTAACATTTTGCTGACACATATGTCCGGATCGCAGGCCAAGTCTCGGGATGACTGACTTCCAAACACTTCACGCACCACTAGGATGGTCGGCGATTTACTCCGCGGTGCTTTGGAAGTCGCGAACTTTGATACTTTCGGAGCATTGGAAGCACTGCTCTTCTTTCGAATCAAATAGTTTTGTATGTATCTCGCTGCTTTCTTGGATCATGACATGTTATAGTGGTTATTGTCCTTACCTTGTCATTCAAACCTCTTGCTTTGGATTGCTAAACGCGGAGCACAACCCAGCGTAACAGCCATGGCGAACGAACCATCGAAGCCGATAGCCATAGTTGGTAGCAGCTGTCGATTGCCAGGGGGCGTGTCGTCACCATCCGAATTTTGGGAGCTACTCTGCCATCCTAGGGATCTGTCACAAGAGATACCCGGTGACCGATTCGACGCCAATGCATTTTACAATCCAAATCCGGACCATCATGGCACCTCTAACGTTAAATCTGCGTACTTCCTCCAACAGGATCCGGCCCGTTTCGATGCGTCGTTCTTCAATATCAATCCGCGCGAGGCAGAAGCCATTGACCCCCAACAACGCATGCTTCTCGAACTAGTATACGAGGCTATGGAATCTGCTGGATACCCTCTAGAGTCTCTGCGTGGAACCAAAACAGGCGTCTTCGCTGGACTTATGTCGACTGACTATCACGACATACAAGCGAGAGATGTCATGAGTCTGTCACAATATCATGCAACCGGGACTGCCCGTAGTATCCTCTCGAACCGGATCTCCTACTTCTACGATTTTCGGGGGCCCTCTATCACGATCGACACAGCATGCTCCTCTAGTCTCGTCGCCGTACACCTTGCGGTCCGGGCTTTGCGCAACCGCGAGTGCAACGTTGCTGTCGTAGCTGGCGTTAATCTGATCTTAGGCCCCGAGATGTTCATGTCTACTTCGAATCTTCACATGCTTTCACCAGATGGCAAGTGTCAAATGTGGGACGCGAAAGCGAACGGTTATGCTCGAGCTGAAGGAGGCGGAGTCCTTGTCCTGAGAACTTTGGAGGACGCATTACAAAACCAGGTCCCGGGCACAATACAAAGCATCATTCGCGAAACAGGTGTATACTCAGATGGAAGGACACCTGGGATTACCATGCCATCTAGTGCTAGCCAAGTCGACCTTATGCGTACGACTTTCGAGAGAGCGGGGTTAGATCCAACCAATCCAGATGAACAGTGTCAGTACTTTGAAGCCCACGGAACTGGAACACAGGCTGGCGATGCTGCCGAGTCCAAGGCGATCTATACCGTCTTTTGTGAACCGTCCGAGAGCATCCGAACCCACTATTCGCCCCATGATACTAATCCAGCGGTGCCACCAATACTTGTCGGCTCAGTGAAGCCTATGCTTGGTCACTCTGAAGGAGCGGCTGGTATCGTTGGGCTTCTCAAGACCTCGCTTTCTCTTCACCACGCCATCATACCACCCAACCCGCCCATTCAGCACCTTAGTGACAAAGTGTCTCCGTACTCGAATCGCCTCAAGATACCCCATCAGCTGCAAGAGTGGCCTCCGACAAAGACACGACGAGCTTGCGTTAATAGTTTCGGCTTCGGCGGAACGAATGCACATGTGATTGTCGAATCATATGATGACCGTTACGACGGCACGTCCATGGCCATCGAAGACGAAGTTATTCTAGGCCCTTTCGTATTCTCCGCCACCTCTCAGAGCTCCTTGCAGAAGATGATGTTGTCATACCGACGATATCTGTCAACCTGTGCGCACATTAACCTGGCTGATTTGTCTTGGTCTTTGTTCCAACACCGGTCTAGTTTCCCAGTTCGAGCAGCGGTCTATGCGCAAGATGTCCCTGGACTTGTCGGAGCACTAGAGAGGGAGGTTCATTCTGCACAAACGCTCAACCCAGTCTCGTCGGTCTCACCGTCAGCCCCGCGAAAGGGACTTCTCGGTGTTTTCACTGGACAGGGCGCGCAATGGCCATCGATGGGACGTTCTCTTTTTTTCAAGTCGAGACGTTTCGCATCTACCATGCATGAACTTGATACCTACTTGCAGGAACTCGCAAGCCCGCCGTCATGGTCTCTCGTGAATGAGCTTTTAAAACCAGCTTGCGACTCTCGTGTTCATATCGCTGAGTTCTCCCAGCCGCTATGCACTGCACTGCAGATAGCACTCCTCGACGTCTTGTTTACAACAGGTGTTCACTTCGATGCTGTAGTGGGGCACAGTAGCGGTGAGATAGCCGCCGTAAGTCTATTGCTCACGTCGCTACTTCTTTTTCGCTAACAGACAATAGTCCTATGCTGCAGGGTGCATCAATGCTCGGGCTGCGATCCAGATTAGCTTTTTACGTGGCCGTGCTGTGTCGCGCAGGACAGACGGACAGGAAGCGTCAACTTCCATGATGGCTGTTGGTTGCAGTGCACTTGAAACCGAACAAATTTGTAGAGAACCCGCATTTTATGGGAAGATATTCCTCGCCGCTAGCAATGCTCCGTCGAGTAGCACAGTCTCAGGCACCTTGGAAGCTTTAGAGAGACTCGACACGCAACTCCACGAACGGGGCAAGACTGCAAGGATGCTCAAGGTTGATCAGGCATACCATTCGCCTTTCATCGCACATTGTTCGGAGGGATATCTTTGTGATCTAGCAGACTGCAAGATCGACTACCGCTCATCTTCAACGTCCGTTTGGACATCAAGCGTCCACGGCTATCTGATGGACGAATGCGCCGACTCTGTGGACGATGAATACTGGAGCAACAACTTGATCAATCCTGTACTCTTCAAAGAAGCCATAGAACACATTTCAGGGTCACATGGGCCGTTCTTGGCTGCCCTGGAAATTGGCCCACATCCTGCCCTTCGCACCCCAGTTGTATCGACAATTGAAGGGGTCACAGGCTCAAAAGTTCCCTACATGGGAATCTTGGAACGTGGTATGGACGCGAATGAATCTCTTGAGAAGTGCCTTGGTAAGCTGTGGACGGATCTCCCGTATCTCGATTTCAACGAATTCTGGAGGGCATGTCGGGGGATTGACTACCCTACTCCACAGTTCCTGGCCAATCTTCCACCGTACTCTTGGGACCATGATCAGACCTTCTGGAAAGAATCTCGACTATCAAAACAGTTCCGCTTCCGCACATCTAAACCGCATCCCCTTCTAGGTGTACAAACTACGTGCATCGACGATCAGTTCTAATGGCGAAATATCCTCAAGCTTGAAAATCTGTCTTGGCTCAGAGGACATGTTGTGCAAGACGATATCGTACTCCCGGCAGCAGCGTATGTCTCGATGGCATTGGACGCTTCTGAAGTACTATATGGCGATCGTTCTGTGCACCTGGTTGAGCTCCAGGACTTATGCTTTGAGCACCCTGTGACCGTCGACGACAATACGCAAGGTGTAGAAATTTGTTTCTGGCTTCGTAAGCTTAGCTCCCAACACAGCTCACAGGACGGTGAGTACATCTATGCTGAATTCTCTTGCGCGGCCGGGAGGCCCGATAGCTCGCAAACACCCCGGAGGAACTTTTGTGGTAAACTTCGCATCCAGCTTGGCGATATCTCCTTATCTGCGCTGCCAGAGCTTACCCCTTGTGGAAGTGATTTACAACAGGTACACGTAGACGAGTTTTACAATGATCTCGCTAGTGTCGGCTTGCCGTATTCCGGTACATTCAAGGGACTGGTTGAAGCTCAAAGGAAGCTCAACTATGCCGAGTCTGGTGTTCGAAAAGCTCCCAGTATCTTTAAAGTACACCCAGTGTATCTGGATTTGTGTTTCCAGGCCACCTTTGTAGCATATGCTGCACCCGGTGATCGAAGTATGTGGTCACCATTCTTACCGCAACACATCCAAACCGTTAGTGTGAACCCTTTGGCGTGGCAGGAGAGCCGATTGGGGAGAAATGATATCCATGTCACTTCCAATATCACTGGAACAACGCCGGCTCGCGAGACTCAATCGGCAACTATCACTGGCGACAGTAGCGCATTCAATCAGGACGGACGCTACACGGAAGTTCAGATCGAAGGACTCAGATGCGCCGCCTTGATGCCGAGCGGGCCAAGTGATGACACAATCCTGTACAGCCAGATCGTCTGGCGGCCGTCCATCGCAACTGGCCTCGTATTACCAGCAAACGCTTCTCTTCAACCAGAGGAGCCAGGTCTTACAGAGCTTTGTGAGCGCCTTTCTCTTTATTACTACAAAAGGCTGCAGCTCGCGATCTTGGAAGACTGTATCCCACGGGCGCATCGACCGCTCTTCAACTATATCGCGCACTTGCTGCCCCTGGTTCTTAGCGGGAAACATCCGACTGCGAAAGCGGATTGGTTGAACGATAGCTGGGAGGATCTCGAGAAACTCACTCAGCGATATCTTGCGTCGGTAGATGTTCAGCTGATTCAGGCAGTTGGCGAGAATATCGTCCAGGTTGTCAAGGGAACCACAACGATGCTAGAACATATGCTCGTTGATCAGATGTTGACGCGTCTCTATATCCAAGGTATTGGGTTTGAGAATGCGAACAAATTCTTGAGTCACGGCGTCGCCCAATTAGCGCACCAACACCCGAACATGCGAATTCTCGAGATTGGTGCTGGTACTGGAGGGACATCCTCGAGCGTACTTGAAGCTCTCGGTGATGCATACTCATCGTATCATTTTACGGATGTTTCTATGGGTTTCATTTCCTCAGCCGAGGCCAAGTTTGGCACAAAAGCAAGAGCGATGGACTTCGGTGTTCTTGACATCGAACAAGATATCATCGCGCAAGGCTACGCAGAAGGAGGATATGATCTCATCATTGCGTCCAATGTACTGCACGCCACATGGAATCTCAGACATACACTGCGTACAGTCCGCCGCCTACTGCGTTCTGGAGGCTATCTGGTCCTTCTCGAGACCACTGGGGACTTACTACGTTGTGGCTTTATCATGTGTGGGCTACCAGGTTGGTGGCTCGGCCAGAATGATGGTCGTGCCTTCAGTCCCACACAATCTTGTGGACAATGGGACGCGCATCTAAAAGCTTCAGGATTCTCTGGCGCGGATTTGGTGACGCACGATAATGTTGACGAGCAGATGCACAGTTTCTCAGTCATATTTGCTCAAGCGACCGATGCTACAATCGATAGCATTAGAGCTCCCATGGCTTCCGTATACACGTGCGACGAAGTCATGCTTGTCATTGGTAATGCAGGTGGTAACTTAAAAAGTCTTTTACCAGACACAAAATCATTCCTTGAAAGCCACAGTAGAAGCGTAGTCACCCTGAACTCGCTCAACAACATTACTGCGAAGCATCTCGAACCAACGCCCCACGTACTATATCTTGGGGAGCTCGACGCGCCCATATTTGCTGACATGAGCCCTGAGTCCTTGGCTGCAATACAAAACCTGGTCCAGCACTCCAAAAGCATACTTTGGGTAACGAATGGCCGACACGTTGAGAACCCATATTCTAACATGATGGTCGGCCTCCTACGTTGCATACAAAACGAGTCAACAAACATTCAGATGCAGGTCGTTGACTTTGCATCCAAGGACGAGATTACTTCGCACGCGTTGGGAGAAGCATTCTTACGCTTCATAAACATGGCTGCCGCTGCTAACAGCGATCGACTTTTGACGTTAGAGCCGGAACTAGCGATCGTTGGCAACAAGATTCTGATCCCTAGGGTCCTCCCAATATCCGACATGAACGCCCAATGGAACTCGTTCCGCCGAGTCATCCGTCAAGACTCCGTCAGAAGCCGCCAATCAAGCTTGAATAACTCATCTTCTTTCAGTTCCAAGCACGAAACTCTGGAAGTACCCAAGATCAAGATATGTGTCGAGGCATCAACTACTTTAGCTGTAAGGGTTGGCTCGTCCTGTTTCTTGTTCTTGGTGCTCGGCCATGTCGTCGCAAGCGGGCAGCGAGTTTTGTCCCTAGTCCCTGCAACAGAAGGGGTACTGGAAGTGCCTTCGAATTGCGTCAATCCGCTAGCCTACGACTGCATCAAAGACGAAAGGCTTCTTTTCCAGAGTCTATGCTACATAGTTGCGGAATCTATTCTCGAGCGATGTATTGGAAAGACCATCCTGCTCCATAACTGCGATTGGCGCCTCGTCGAGGGTATCCAAGCAGCTACGTCACACATTCGCCCATCAAGCAGTATCCTCACCTCAGCTTTCATCACAAGCCACCGCCCAAATCCACCGGATATTATTATTCATCCCCGTGCAACAAAAGCACAAATCATTGTTGCATTTCCTGGCGATCTGGATTTCCTTGTTGACTTCACGACACCCAACGCAGCTGAGACAACGAGCTCAGAGAATGTGATTCAAAGTTTGCAAGACCGGTGTACAGTGATACGCTCGAACGAATTTGTTTCTTCGGAGTCTAGAGTCCCAGCACGTTGGGACGCGCACCGCATTCCAAACCTACTTTGCACAATGGCCGAGCTGGGTCGTGATTCGAATGACCATCGGTGGATCCAGGGAGAGATGGGCGCCGGATCTGGTTTGACACGTAAAAGCCCACCGATTCCACATGATGCATTGATCCATCGTCTCGACACTACGAGGCTTTTCCGATCCGAACGCACTTATCTCCTTTGCGGCTTGACTGGCGAGATCGGGCAATCTATTTGCACTTGGATGGTTCAAAACGGTGCACGATATGTTGTACTCGCGAGTAGGAGCCCAAATCTTGATCGCTGTTGGTGCCTGCCGCTGGAACACTTGCGCGCCAAGATCGTCGTTCTCTCGCTGGACGTATGCAATGAAGAAGCTCTCAATGAGCTAATCGAGAAGCTGCGAGCCACAATGCCTCCAATCGCTGGAGTAGCACATGGCGCCATGGTATTGTCTGATGCCACTTTTGCGAACATGACTATGAAGGAATTGCAACGAGTGTTGCATCCCAAGGTAGTCGGCTCAATTAATCTCGACCAGGCCTTCAAGCACGATAAGCTGGACTTCTTCATCATGTTCTCTTCTCTGTCCTGTGTCATTGGCAATATTGGCCAAAGCAACTACGCGGCGGCAAACATGGTAACCTACCCAGGGTACGTTTTGTAGTCCAACTGCTAACATACACCAGTTCATGCAACCGATCGCGAACCAGAGACGAGAGCGAGGACTCTCGGCTTCTGTAATTGATCTCGGTATGATTGTGGGTGTGGGTTACATGAACCGAGCAGGACCTGAACGAGTTAAGATCATGGCGCGTGACTTCATGCGGGTATCCGAATCGGCACTGCACGACATATTTGCACAAGCTATCATAGCCGGTGCGCCTGAATCTGGATACCCTGCTGAGCTGATCACCGGTCTAGCTCCTGCTTCGTCAACCGACACGCCAATGTGGTACAGCAATCCCATCTTCTCGCATCACCGAAACAAAACATTAGTGTCGAAGGCCCTCAATATGGACAAAGCGGCTGTTTCTGTAGCTTCGATCAAGCTGCAAATCGAGGCTAAGAGCACACAAGATGCACTTGAGATACTGCGCTCCAACCTCTCCACCCAGCTCGCGGATATTCTCCAGCTCAAGGCCGCTGCTATCCAGTTCGATAAATCTTTGATACAACATGGGGTCGACTCACTGATGGCAGTGGAAATCTCTTCGCGGATATACAAGCACTTTGAACATAAGGTTTCAGTGCTGAAAATACTCAGCGGTCTGTCCGCAGATGAGAGTAGGCAGCCCACACAATTTTTCAAGTACTTGCTAACGCTCTGATCAGTTGCTTTGCAAGTCCTTGCGTCCGTCAAGTCCCCTGAGACGACCATTCAAGTAGTTCCCGCCAACAAGAAAGAGTTCGGTCAATCTCCCATCGGCAAAATCGGTGCTTCAAATGAACTCCCAGCCGTTGAGGGCTCGTCAACATCCGTCGAAATTGGTCTGAACCAGTCGACAAGCGCCGACGAAAGTCAAACCCAGTTCTCATACAACGATTCGGGGTACAACTCTGAGGGTGAGAGATCGAGGTCGCGGGCATCGAAACGTCAAAGAAGTCTGTGGTACACCGCCGCCTCCTTTGACACGCCGACCATGTACAACTGTACATGGGTGTACGCGATAAATGGTCGCATTGATAGTAAAAGATTGGAAACAGCGATTTGCTCAGGCTGTCACAGGCATGAAACCATGCGCACAGCATTTAACGTCGAAGACGACACCGGCGAACTTGTTCAAGACATACGACCAACCCCAAATCACGAGTGGGTGTGTACTGCCATCGAGGACGATTCCGCATTGGAGAACGCTATTGCAACGGTCGAGCATCAGGTGTACGACTTGCAGGGGGGCCGAACGTCTTCTTTCATGCTCTGCACTTTGTCGGAACAAGTACACTACCTGATAGTTGGCTATCACCACATCATTCTTGACGGAACTGCGTGGCAGATTGTCCTGAGAGACGTTTTGAGTATGTACAGCTCAGGCGAAGTGCTTCCACTCGCCAGGATGCAATATCGCCACTATGCACTAGATGGCGAGGAAGATTCCGAAGATCATCGCGCATTTTGGAAAGCTCAGTTTGCTACAGTTCCTTCCACACTTCCGTTGTTTCCTTTCGCCAAAACAGCTTACCGTTTTCCAATTCAAACGCCGTCAATACACACTTTTGAAGAAGCGGCACCCGTGCACATCACAGAGCAGGTCAAGATGGCTTGCCGCAAGCTTGGTATTACGACGATGCACTTTCATGTTTCAGTTCTCCAAATTATGGTATCCTTACTTGCAGGCACACGAGAGCTATGCATCGGGATGGGTGACGCGAACCGAAACGACGAACGGTATGGAGATGTTGCCGGACTCTTGGCAAGCGTACATCCATTGCGACTTGTTCTGGAAGATGGCGTGTCATTCGCTCAAGTTGCTGGACAAGCACGAGATGCAGTCTTGACTGCCATGGATCATGCCCAAGTCTCTTTCGAAACGATAATCGACGACATTGGTGTGGAAAGAAACTCTTCTTTCACCCCTCTCTTCCAAGTCATGATCAACTACGTTTCCGGCTTCTCAGATCGCATCAATTTGGAAGGCGCGACCCTAAAACATCACTATGCAGCCGAAGCAACACATGCCCAGGACCTTATTCTCACAATCCGAGATACTAGGGAAGAGATGAGGTTATACTTCACTGTTCAGGAGAGTTTGTATACACGTGGTCATGCGCAGATGATGGCAAAGATTTACATCGATCTTCTAGATCATTGTTCCATTAACGTCGATGAGCAAGTGAATGCGCTCGATCTTCTCAGGCCCGAGTGGAGAGAACAAGGTTTGCGACTGGGTGAAGGCCCGACCATCCCGTTGCCGAATCTCGAGTCATTAGACCGTCTCATTGCAGACAAAGCCGGCCAATATCCCAACAATATCGCTGCCAAGGACGACGCAGGCCGTACAATCAGTTACTCTGGTCTCATGGATCGAGTAGGCGATATTGCAGCTACTTTGGCGACCTGCGGCACGTCAAGTGGCGTTCCAGTCTGCATCATCGGCGATCACACCATCGATGTATTGTGCGCCGTCATCGCGGTGTGGAAACTGGGTGCCGTCTATGTACCCATCGACGCTGACAATCCGCATGAGCGGATCAAAACCATGTTGAAGAACTGCAAAGCTACCGTGGCTTTCGTCTCCGGGGAGAAGGCAATGAGCACTGCAAGAGAGACCAAGATCAGCGTTATCATCACTGCCGAACTGCGAGTTCATAGCTTGACTGATGAGTTACCGGTAGCCATCATGCCTCCTGATACTGCCGCGATCTTCCACACTAGTGGCACCACTGGCGAGCCTAAGGGCGTGATACTGACCCACGATAATCTTCTCACACAGGTAGCAGCAGTCCAGCAACGATACCCTTCGTCACAACCCCGAGTACTTCAACAGAGCGGTCATAGCTTCGATGCTTCTTTGTTCCAGATACTTGTGTCGCTATGCACTGGCGGGACCCTTGTCATGACCGCCCATCGTCGAGATCCTGAGATTATTACTAAAATCATTTGCGATGAATCTATCACGACTACACTCGCCGTACCCTCAGAATATCTGATGTGGTTCCAGTATGGCAAGGAACTTTCGAAGGCTTCGCATTGGCATACGGCATTCTGCGGCGGAGATGCGATGACGAAAAATGTCATACGCGGCTTCGCGGCTTTGGAGCTTCGAAACCTACAACTAATCAATGCATACGGCCCCACCGAAGCTTCTATCACTTGCTCTATGGGTACGGTGAATTATCGTACAAAGGACTCCGAACTTCTCTCAACAGGATCCGCGCTGCCAAACTACACTCTATCAGTCGTAGATGAACAAGGTCGACCTCTTCCGCCTGGATGGACTGGTGAGGTGTGCATCCAAGGAAGAGCACTCAGCCCTGGCTACGTTGATGCATCGCTTCAGGTTTATAGCTTCGAGTCGCACAAATCCTTCGTCAAAGACCTGCATGAAAGCTACCTGACGGGCGACGTTGGCAGAATGACCGGAGACGGCAACCTATTGCTCATGGGGCGTATCGTTTCTGATTCGTATCAGAAGATTCACGGTAATCGCATCGAGCCTCTGGAGATATCGAAGGTTATACTCCAGGCCTCGGATGGTGCTATCGCTGAATGTGCGGCCATCATCAAGAGTGATGAGATACCGTTCATCGTGGCATACGTCACGTTTGCGAGAGATCATAACATCGAGGCTCAAGAGGAATACCTTCGTAGACTGAAAGGTAGTCTACCTTTGCCTTCATATATGCTTCCAGCCACTATCCTCCCCGTAGCTGAGCTGCCGAAGACTAGTAGTGGAAAAGTGGACAACAAGGCTCTACGCTCGCTGTCGTTGTCCAGGCAGCATTTGACGGAAATGTCTCAAGATTGTATCACTGCAGACGAGGAGATCGTTGCCGCGATCTGGAACGAAGTGATCCCTACACCATTGCATTCGCTGTATAAGTCATCTTCAGCGGACTTCTTTTCTGTGGGTGGCAACTCTATACGTTTACTCAAGGTCATCAGCAAGCTTCGAAATTTATCTAACTCCGACTTGACGCTGCCCACCGTTCTCGAAAACCCCACGTTAAGCGGCATGGCTGCTTTGATCCGGTCCCCGGATCCCCCGGAACAAGATCGGAACGTCAGGATTGACGAAATGGATTGGGGCTGGGAGACATCACTCTCCAATTCCATTCCGATACACATTGTTCGGTCGCCATCGAGCACGAAGAGTAATACTGGACATGTGGTGTTGCTCACCGGGGCCACGGGTTTCATTGGACGCCATATTCTCAGCATTCTATGCAGTCATGATCAAGTGGCTGCCGTTCATTGTGTTGCTGTACGCTCGTCCGACAGCCTGCAAGACATCGTTACCACCTATCCCAATGTTCATCTGCATGCAGGTGACCTGGCTAGTCCGCTCCTTGGCCTCTCTCAAAAAGACTTCTCTGCCTTGGCTGCCAGCATCACCATGATTGTGCATAACGGTGCTACAGTTTCTTTCCTCCAACCTTACGCTTCTCTCCGTGCAGCGAACGTAACATCGACCAAAGAGCTCATTCGTCTAGCAACACCCCGCCGGATTCCGTTTCACTACATATCTACAGCCGGCGTTGCCGAGCTAACAGATCTGTCGTCGCTGCGCGAGAAGTCAGTAGCGAAATACATTCCGCCAGCGGGTGCGAGCGGATATACAACAAGTAAATGGGCAAGTGAAGTGGTTCTGGAGAACGCATCAGCATCATACGAAATACCGATTACAGTGCATCGTCCGAGCAGTGTTGTCGAGGCCGCTGAGACGCCGGATGAGGTCCTTCCGCTTGATGCGTTGGGCACTCTGCTGCGATTTTCGAGGAAACTCAGGGCTGTGCCACTGCTGGAGAAGTGGACAGGTTGTTTTGACATGGTGCCTGTGGATCAAGTAGCTCAGCACATTGTAGAGGAAGCGCTTCTGCCATCTACTGGCGGCATTCGATACAAACATATCGCGGGCAGTAAAACGGTTCCGGCGCAGGGCTTGGACAAGTTCGTCGCGACACAAATGCAAGACCTAGTGGAAGTTGTACCGATGGAGGACTGGATCGACCGCGCAAATGCGCATGGGTTGAGGGAGGATTTGAGCGAATGGTCACTTGCAGTGGCGAGTAAACCAAGATTCTTGCCTCCTATTATGATGGGGTCAGATCTGTAGCCATGGGCGCACATAGCATGTTTGTTCATATTTACAAATTGTATCAATCTCTGCATGGAAACTCTTGTGCCGACTTCCGAGACGTGGGCAGTGGTATAGATTGAAGGCTCTCATGTTCCGCAGCTTCAGTGCAACTTTCCTCGGCCCAGGAACACCGCCACCAACTTCGGGGCTCCCTGTGACGCCCGTCCAAACTTATCCTTCACCACGCTGTGCTACAAACCAACCTTTCAGATCATGGATCATGTCAGAAGAATGCGAAAATCAGCTGCATGCATGTCAAAAATGCAGATTGCGCAAAGTCAAATGTGACCGGCAAGCACCCAAATGTACCAACTGTGCGAAAGGCAGTGTCGCCTGTATCGTTGTCGACCCGATTACTGGAGAGCAATATGCACGTGATTATGTCAGGCAACTAGAAGAGAAGGAGCGCGATCTAACGCGAAGACTTGATGCACTCGACGATGCAGGCGTTGTCACTCCAGTCTCGACTGAGAGATCGGAAGGTTCCCATCCGACACCGGTAGGCCCCGAAACGGCAGCGAGCTCGGGAGCTCAAAGCGGATTTGTCGGCGATGGCAGTGGATTAGGTTTCTTGCAGAGCATTCTTTCTGATATTTAATGGCAACACCATCGCGCACAAATACTGGAGCAGCTGAAGAAGCGTCCTCGCATCGTTAAGCATCGGCCCGTTGCTAACGCTCTGCCACCGATCGTACAAGCGCGACAATGGTTTGACAATTATTTTACTCGATTTCATGTCCACCATGCTCTTCTACTACGCATCGAGATGCTGGACGTCTTCAACCGGGTCTACTCAGTCCCGCCATCACTATGGAGGCTCTCCGCTCAGGACAACTTCCGCCTTTTCATGTTATTTGCAATCAGCGACACAACCAGACATCGGGCTTGCCAAAGTGCTGGTCAAAGTGCTGAACATTCATACGGCTACTATCTTGCTGCTGAAAGTTGACTTGCCGATATATCGCTGATCAAAGGTCTGGACGCTATTCAGAACTTATTGCTCATAGCAAGGTTCGGCATGTACCATCGTATTGGAGTGTCGATATGGGGAAATCCCCACCGTTGTATGCGCCAATGTGTCGAATGGGGTCTGCATCTGAACGCATATGGCAATCCGGACCCTTTGAAAGAACAACACCAGCGCAGGATATTTTGGGAGTGTTGCGTTCATGATCGTTACAGCTCTGGCATTCTGGGTCGTCCTTTCGCTCTACTTGAGTCAGAAATAGGCATGCCACTGCCAATAGCTGCCGACGACGAGACGATCATAACATCTGAGACAAATATACTTGATATCATTCCGACTGTCACGGCTTTACAACCAAGCGATGTCTCAATCGAATTGTTCTGCATCAAGCTGCGACGTCTAAGCTCAAGGGTGCACACGGCCTTTTACACCAGTCGCAAATCACACTCAAGCAGTACTGCAGTCGGCACTCGGACACCAGCACTCCGATCAATCGGAAATGTCTACTCGTCGCTCTCTCAATTCGATAGCAAGCTTCATGCGATACGGGCGTCAGCACCTGTCTTCTCAGAACCCAGATGTCTGTACGAGCGATATGAGTGGCACGACTTTATGTATGAGAAAGACCGCCTTCTGCTTGCCCGTGGCGCCATGCACAACCTTCCGGCACAACAGTTCTCTGGCGCGTCCATACTGAAGGAGATACTGAGAGCGTGCTACATGTCAGCAACGCGTACGATAGAGTTGTATGCGAATCTACGAAGCAAAGACGCTATCACTTGGACGAGCAGCTACTTTCAGATCATCTTCACAGCCGGTCTTACTGTAATCTATCGTGTTATCTTGGATGTCTTGACCGACAACCATGGGCTCTCTGCGACTCATACGGACCCTCTGCGAACACTTCATATCTGCGGCTCACTATTAGATTTCTTCAAAGTCAAGATGCCAGACGCAGGGTCTTTTGCGACTGTGTTTAATGTTATGAAGGAAGAGTTTGTGAAAGACCGTTTCGCGCATTTACTACCCTCGTCAGCCAACGTCGCAGCGGCCCCTACTTCACAACACCGCCAGCAGCTCTCAGGCCATCTCTCAAATCCGGAAGTTTTTCCGGGTCATTCAGTCAATGAGAATCCGCTACATTCGGGCATAGGTACTGTCGATGGACATTATCTACTATCCGTTGACAAACAACAGCAACAAACAACAGCAGTTGCCATCTCACTTCGAGACCTTCCCGACATCACAACTGCTCAATTTCCGCAAGAACTTACTATTGGTCTTACACACGATCTTATGAACCAACTTGAATCAGGGCTGGGTGAATACGCATGGGGTTCGCTAAATCCCCAGATGAATTGCTGGAATCTTCTCGGTTACGAATAAGCAGGAATATGAACGATGAGCGCAAATTGTTTTGTTGAGCAGTTCGTTTGTTACATAGCGCCTTCAGTCTTTATATACTCATACAATCGATCTACTGCTGCTATCGCAGTCTGCATTTGCGTCTCAGCCGTTGCAGCATCTACGTGTGGAGTATTCACAACGCGTCCGGTCTCCCAAAGACTACCATATACCTCTTTTGTTGGTGGTTCATTCTCATGACAGTCAAGACCCGCTCCCCAGATGAGACCTTCTTTCAAAGCGCGCTCGAGATCCGCCTCTTGCACGATTGCACCTCTCGCGGCGTTGATCAAAATGGAAGTGCGCTTCACCATCTTCAGTTGTTCATACGAGATGAGACCTCGGGTTTGTGGCAGAAGAGGCACATGTAGTGTTAGAACGTCAGAGACAGAGAGCACATCATCAGGCGTCTCTGCCCGTGTGTGCGCAATATCCTCCCAAGCATCCTTTGGCAATAGTGGATCGTATGCGACTATACGACTTCCTAGTCCGCCTTGGAAGATTTATGCGACTTTCCGCCCGATGTTCCCCATACCCACGATGCCGACCGTCTTGTCGTTGATGATCAAGCTGGAGCAAGTTTCTTTCGGTACCTTGATGCCAACACTCTGTAGCGCTATGATGCGACCAGTCTCACGAGCTACAGACATCGTGAGCGAAAGGACTGTTTCGGCGACAGACTGCGCATTGACTCCAGGCGTGTTGAAGATCTTGATTCCGCGCGCTTTGCAGGCTTCTCCATCAATCTTGTCGGTCCCGACACCCTGTTTCCCGATGGCTTTCAGGTTCTTGCATGCTTCGACGTCTTCTGTGGTCAGGTACGATCCGCGAATCACCAGGTATTCAGCATGCTCTCTCCACTCTGCGTGCTTGGGGTCTGAAGGTAGTATAGTGTTGAATAACGACCGGGCGCGTTCGATGGCTTGAGGATGTAACGTATCTAGTAGATAAACGGTTTGCTTGTTGGCTCCGTTTGGCGAAGTTGAGGATTCGGAAGTAATTCCCGAGTCAATAAGTCCTGGTGCCATGGCGACAGCTACGGTGTGATAGCAGGGTGGCTGATGAGAACTCAAGTAAGTGAAGATTTAAAGGCCAGGGCAATGTCGAATTGCAAGTGGTTGACAAAAAACGGTCAGGACACTGGAACAACACGTGTCTGGATGTACAATGCCTATAGAAATGCGGACACACCAGGTTCTGAAATACAGACAGCATTTTGCCATACTGGAGAAGCCGACACCGCGCTCACATGCCGAAGGACAGATGATGTGCAGAGTAACACGGCTTGTCGGACGACCACCGATAGCACCAAGCTCAGAAGAAATGTCTAGGCAAGTGACTAGTAGGGCATCTGGGATCTGGGGAATGTGTGGGCGACACGAACCATCCCCGCACGCTGGACAGGCAACGATGGACGGGAAAACGCATGGCCAACTGTGCAACATGACATCCATATGAGCGATGTGGAGTGGTCTGCTGGCATCTCGCTCTTCTACGTGGGATACATCATCTCACAGATACCTGCAAACATCATCATGTCGAAACAGAAGCCACGCATCTGGATGCCCTGCATAATGCTAGCATGGTGATCCGTCACCATGTGTATGCCTGCGTGCACTAGGCCATGGCATTTCATGCTTTGTCGCTTTCTTGTTGGCTTCACCGAGGGTCCATTCCTCCCTGTGGTGGCGCTTATGACCTCAAGCTGGTATACCAAACAGGAAGGTCCTCTACGGATGGCAATCTGACACGCAGGAAACATCGTCTCAAATGTGTTCTCTGGTCTAATTGCGGCGGGCATCTTGACCAACATGGACAATATTGCGGGTCTACATGCATGGCAGTGGTTTCTCCTGTTGGAGGGTATCGTGTCCGTCATGGTTGCCATTCCCGGATTCTGGCCTCTTCCGAACTTGCCCAACAACACCGGAACATACTACTTCACCGCTGAAGAGCGACAGATGGCGCAATACCGTCAGTCCGTGTCTTCTGGTATGGTATTAGAGAACGAAGAAGTGGACTATATTGGCGGATTGATGCAGGCTGTGTAAGGTCCATTTACGTGGCTATCTGCCAGCATACATTTCTCTCTTATCATCGCCCAGTCATTCAAAGACTTCTTTCCACCCATCATGAACACTTTGGGCTTTGGAAAGGTTCAAACCTATCTGGTTCAGGCTCCGCCATACGTGATAGCTTATATCGGCACGCTGATCATGTCATGGTCGTCTGGTCGTATGCTCGAACACGGCTATCATATCATCGGCGCTATCTCGACAACCCTCATGGGAGACTACAGTTGTGCCTCGTCCGTGGACCAAAAGAGCTGCACTTATTGGGACCGCAAAATGTGTGTCAAGCGCCAGTCATTCATTCAAGCCATATTTTTTCCTCACGAACCAGGAGCCGAGATATGAGACAGGAGGTGGGTGTATCATTGCCGGATGTGGCTTGACTATCATACTGTGCCTTGCGACGAAGTGGTGGTGCAATAAGAAGAACAAGGATTTGATTGCGAAAGTGGAGCGAATAGGGGTGACTGATAGCTAGAGATTTGCAACGTAGGCTGCTAATAGAGGGAGGTTTCGAATAGTCTTTATAGCAGCACTACTAAGGTTATTAACCTATTAAAGGTAGTGTTATCTCTATTACCTTAGTATAATCTAAGTATGCTATTAGAGGTATATATAGATACAATATCCTAATGTAGACACCTAATAATTCTAAAGTACTCTAGTTATTTTTAAGTTAGTAAAGTAATATAAAGTTCTCTAACAACTAAATTATAGCTATAGCTAGTTTTAGCTATTTTATATCTTAAAAAAAAATCTACTAACGTAGTTTATAAGCGAGTAACGCACCTAAGCGAGTAACGCACTTTTGCTAAGACCTTACTAAACTTTAATTAAGTTGTAATGCCTTAACGCAACAGCGTAAAAATAATCTTAAATAAAGTAGATATACAGCTTGCGATATAGGCTATCTAAAGAGACGCGTTACTAACAACGCGACGCGCTAGAGCTATCTATAGCGTCTCTAAAGCAACACTATAAAGGCGACTCGCTAAGACGCCTTAACAACGCGATTGCGCGCTTAACTT